GGCTCCGCACGCGTAGATAGTTGGTGTGGAGATATGGATATAGGGGAGTATGGGTGAGGTATGGGTGATGGTGCGGAGATAGTTATGACTATGGGGTGGAGATAGTGCTGGGAATAAAGGTGAGGAGATTGTATCGGCTGTTTCATCTGCCCCCATCGGTGCCATGCGCCAGGGCCGGTCACTTCCACCTCTCTTCCCTCTCCCCCCCTGCCCACACCTCACCACACACACAAACACATACACACACACACACATACACACATACACATACACACATACACACATACACACACACACACACACATCATGTCTGCAGGACCGGCCTTTCTCTCCAACCTCTCGCTGTCCATTCCACGCGGACCGGCAGTGTCGCGACAGACGCCTGCAGCGGTGACGGCAACGGGCGCAAGAGCCTCGGGTGAGCTCTCACCGGGCAAGGGCGTGCAGACCGGTCGCATTCGCAAGTCGTCGCCTTTGGCTGCCGGTCCCAATCCTAGCGTGAGACAGAATCAGAGCCAAGACGATGCTGGGAGTGGAGGCTCTGGATCGGGCCAGGCTGGCTCTGCCACGGCGACTGCCGCGGGCGCAACGGGTAGGCGGACAAGCGGAGGCAAGGCCGCCGACGTGGTGGTGCCCAAGGGCCTGGGCGCTCTTCCTACGCTCACGCTCACGCCTGGTGACGGGACGAGCAACGGGCCGATGAAGTCGCCGCGCCGCGGGCTGCGGCATGACGGCACGTATGTCGATGGCGACTTTGAGATCAGGACGTCTGGTGTGTACCTCCGCGACAAGACGCTGCAGGCGAATCCGGAGGCCAACGCGCCGCCCAACATTGACTTTTCGCAGCTGGAAGAGGTGGCGCTTATCGGGCGCGGCGGGCAGGGCGTGGTGCGCAAGGTCCGGTACGTGCCGACGCAGCAGTTTATGGCGCTCAAGACGGTGCCGATCGCCGATTCGGTGGCCGACGGCGTCAAGTCGGAGATCCTGATGGAGCTGACGGCGCTGTACAACTGCGCCTCGCCGCACATTGTCAAGTTCTACGGCGCTTCGCACCTGCGCGGCCGCATCCAGCTGGCCATGGAGTACATGAACGCCGGCTCGCTCGCCGAGATCCTCTCGACCGTCGGCCGCATTCCCGAGGACGTGCTCTCGGCCATCACCCTCAGAGTCCTCAAGGCCTTCCACTACCTCCACGTCGACCGACGCATCATCCACCGCGATATCAAACCGTCGAACATCCTGGTCAACACCGCGGGCGAGGTCAAGATCTGTGACTTTGGTGTCTCTGGTCAGCTCGCCAACACGCTTGCCATGGCCCAGACCCGGGTCGGAACGGTGACCTACATGTCACCGGAGCGCATCCGCTCACAGCCGCACTCGGCCTCGGCCGACATCTGGTCGCTCGGCATCACCCTCATCGAGCTCGCCACCGGTCGCTTCCCCTACCCGCCAGACGTGACCAACTCGCCGCTGCAGTTCTGGTCGCTCCTGCGGCTGGTGGTCAACACCGACTCGCCGACCCTCCCAGAGCACTTTGGCTTCTCGCCCGAGTTCCACTCGTTCGTGGCGCTGTGCCTCGACAAGGACATGGAGGCGAGACCGTCGGTCACCGAGCTCCTCTGGCACCCGTTCATCTGCCTCGACACAAACGTAAGCGTCGACCAGGAGGCACTGCTCGCCAAGCAGACGCGCCTCATCCGCAAGTGGGTCGCCACCACAGACCCGCTCCAGCGCGAAGTGACCAAGATCGAGGCCGCCATCCTCGCCAAGGAGTCCAAGCAGCGCGCTCTCGCCCGCCGCGGCTCCCACGGCCGCCGCCGCAAGGACACCTCCTCGGGCTCGGTCGACTCGAACAAGCTCTCCACCCTCTCGGCCAAGCGCCTCTCGCGCTCGCACATCCGCGTCCCCTCGTCCGGCCTCTCGCTCCCCTTTGTCGCCGACGCAAACTATGTCGCCGACGCCCGCCTCTTGCAAGAAGACGGCATCCGCGGCGAGGCCGTCTTTCTCACCTGAGCCCGCGCCAGTTCCACACTCGGCACATCGGACTTTCCTTTACTCCCGCAGCCTACGCCATCGAAAACGAGTGCATGCAGTTGATAGCAAGTGCAAACGAGACACAAGCCATGACCACTCCGAACGTGAGCGTCAGCCGCGTGCCCTGCGACGTCTCCTCGCGCATTTGCAGCGACCGCAGGTTTGCCGCGAGCGCGTGCGGTTTAGGCCGCACGCTCTTTGCCTGGCGCTTTCCCATCTCCACGCTGCGCACTGCCGGCTTGCGTGTCGCCACGCCCGAGTCAATGATTGTCGACTCGGGCAGCTGGCCCGCGCCCGGCGACGTCGCTGCCAGTAGCAGCTCCAGCGCCGCATCCTTGCTCGGGCCCGAGAGCGAGCCCTCGAAGCGGAATGCATACCCACCGAGGTTGCGGTGCCAGGTAAGGCTCTCAGCGTCGGCCACCACCACGTCGACCAGTCCGTCGCCGTCCACGTCCAGCGGTGAGAGCGTGGCGTGGCCGGGCGCCGCCAGCGCACGGTGCACAAACGCCTTACTCCGCGCCCCAAACCCGACGCCCGGCCCGCCGTTGGGGTACACAAACACTGCTGCCGAGTTGTTGGCAAGTAAAACCGCCAGCGCCGTGTCCGGGAAGCCGTCCGCGCCAAAGTCGGCCATGAACATGGTGTGCAGCGGGCTCGGCGCCTCCTCGTCGATCATCTGCTCGTCGCCAAACAGCGGCGACGCGCCCGAGTCGGTTCCCTCGTGCTTGAACCACACCAGCTTGCCCTGCGCACTCAAGTAGCCCACCACGTCTGCACGCGCGTCTCCGTCTACGTCGGTCACAAGCACCTCGGCCGTCCTCCGGCCCTCGCTCCGCCCCACCGATGCCGACGGCTCCGCCAGCACCGCCACAGCCACCACCGCCACAACCACCACCATCTGTCCGAGCCTCAGCCAGCCGCTTGCACCCCTCATACCCATGCCAGTCAGCACCAGTCTGTCTCGCTAACCACGCCCTACGTCGAGAGGAGTGTATCCCTCTTCCCTGCTGCCCTTCCCCTTCGCCGCAGCCCCCCTCCCTCCCTCCCTCCCTACCCCCTCCGGCCCTTCTCCCGCTCCACCGCTTTGGAAGAACAATGATTGGACGCGCTGATTGACGCGCCCCAAAAAACGAGACTTGGGAAAATGTACTCTTTTTCGCCGCAGAGCCCAGCCCAGCCCCGCCGAACCGCCGCCCTCCCCCCCCCCCCCCCCCTCCCCTCCCTTCCACACCTTCTGCCATTGACACCACCGACACCACACCACCGCAGTGGCACCACCGCTGCCATCACCGATGACACAAGCTGCAAAGGATGGCAGGCAGAGGGCAAGCAGTTGCTCTTCAGCACACCCTGGCTGTCGGTATCGCCTCTGACATGCACATCGCAAAGCGAAGGGCTATGCCAAGCATACCCTACGTCGTCGCAGTGACCAGGCTACGTCTCGGGCCCTCGACCTTGGGTCAGAGTTTCGCGGCTCGTTGCTCGACTTTGAGAACCTTTGGTCCTGCACGACAAAGGCCACAGCAGTACAAGCTCTATCGCAACCATCCGATCCACAGCAGCGCTCCCTCCCCCCCCAAAAAAAAACTGTTTGTTTTGGGGGCGTTTGGCATAGCCGCTTGATCATCTGCTCCAGCTCATACCGTCGGTCCATCTCGTGCGGCTTGCGGCGGTGGTTTGGTGGTGGCGCGGTTGGCGGGGGGAAAGGGAGCCCGCCAAATCGCACACGCTGCAACACTCGGTCTCGAAGCAGTTTAGGTTGGAACCATACATCCTATGCACGTGCCTTCTAGCACCTCTACCCGTAGGCGACCTCAACGCGCGGCACAGCTGATGGTCAACGCACAAACGGAAAAGTTACGTGTCACTAGACCATCTGGTCAAGAGAGCCACCGCTTTCCGCCGCCCTTCCGCAGCTCTCCCCTCACCCTCAACCCCAACACACACCACTTTATCCCCCCTCCATACATACATACATACACCATGTTGCCATACGGCTACACTGCCCTTGTGATCCTTCTTGCCCTCGGCCTCTTTCCAAACAGTACCTCAGGCGGCGTCTTCACCGAGGTGGATCCTGTCGGCAATTCGATACCTCCGAGACGTGACGATGCCTCCGCCACGGCGGTCGACGGAGTCATGTACATGATGGGCGGTCGCACAGGGAGTGGGACGGCTGGCGACTTGTGGCGTTTCGACGTCGAAGACTCGCGCTGGGAAGAAATCCCGGTTGTGGTCCAGACTCCCAACGGCGATCCAGGCGCTCCCATCGGTGCTGTCGAGGATCACATCATGGACGCCGTCGGCGACGACGCCTTTGTCGTCTTCCACAGATCCTCGCTCTGGATGTACAACGTGACCACCGCTGTCTTCACCGGACCGTACGGGCCGCTGAGTGTCGACCTCAAAGACGCCGCGGGCGCGGTCGTCGTCTCTCCGACATCAGGATCTGCCGCCTTCCTCGTCTTTGCTGGCCTAGATCGCTCGACATCGCATGTGGCGACGACCGACAGGCTCTTTTCCTTTGATCTGCAGTCCATGGTCTGGTCCGAAGTCGTCAATGTCTCTGTTGTCGGTGCAGAAAGCGGCCCGGTGGCCCGCGAAGACGCGGGAATGGTCGGCCTCGCTGATGGGCGCCTGTATCTCTACGGCGGCGCCAACGATGCAAGTGAGATGCTGGACGACCTCTGGGCTTTTGACCCGTCGACTATCAGCTGGCACTTTCTCGGCTCGGCCTCAGATAATTCTTCCCGGGCGCACGATGGGCTGTTGTGGCCGGTCCCAGTCGAAGACCACAGCATGGCACGCATTGGCACGAACGGCCTTTCGTTTGTCATCCTTGCAGGCCTCCAGCTCTACGGTCGCATCTACATCTACGACGCGAGCACCAAGTTGTGGACATACGATCCACTGGCCACCGACCCACTCAAGCGCGCCGTCGGCGTTGACGCCGCCCTGCTCCACCTCAGCGGTACACCAGCCGCCCCGCTCGCCTTACCGTCGGATCGCCGCGAGTCCGTTGTCGCTGCCGTCTCGCCTACCCGTGTTCTTCTTTTCGGCGGTGAAGTCATCGTCAACGCCGAGCGCCTCAACGATCTATGGCAGTACTCGATTGACGGCGAATGCCCCAACGGATGCTCGCGCGACGCAACAGACGGGCTTTCCAATCTCTGCGGCGCGTACGCCATCTGCGCATGCGCCAACCCGAGTCTCGATCTTGAGGCCATGCTTGCTGTCAACGAGGACGACATCTCGCAGCTCATCCGCGACGCAGGCTACACCTGGCGCGATACTTTCGCACTTGCCCCTGACTGCGAGCCGCGAGCACTCGCGCCGCAACCGCCGCCACCCGCGCCGCCAGTCGTCGACAAGCAAGCCATCCGGGCTGGCCCGTCGGTAACATCGACGCTTGCGCTCGGCCTTGGCCTTGGCATCACCCTTTCTTTGCTCTTCTGCATCGGTGTCCCGTTCGCCGTCTGGTGCCTCCGCCGTCGCCGCACCGTCGTCCACCACTACTCGCTCGAAGCCAACGCAAGCATCACCATCAATTTTGACGACCTTGACTTTGTCCGCGAGCTCGGTCGAGGTGCGTACGGTGTTGTCCAGCTCGCAGCGCTTGGCTCGGACTTGGTCGCCGTGAAAGAGCTGGCTCTCCGCAACTCCGAGGCGGACAAACTTAATCAGCCCGACCGACTGGACATCGCTGCCTGGCGCGACATCGAGGTGGCGCTGCCGACCTCGATCCTCATTGATTTTGTCAACGAGGCCTCGATCTTGCTCGCGTGTCGCCACACCAACATCACCCTCCTTCGCGGCGTCTCCATCGCCCCGCCCGCGCTCATCTCCGAGTACATGTCGCGCGGCTCGCTCTTCTCCGTCCTTCAGTCCGAAGCCGTCACCCTCAACCACTCGCTCATCTACTCGTGGGCCGTCGGCATTGCCTCTGGCCTCCGCTTCCTCCACGCCCGCGGCATTGCCCATCGCGATCTCAAGTCGCCCAACGTGCTCCTCTCTGATGGGTGGGCACCCAAGCTCGCCGATTTTGGACTCTCGAGCTTTGCGCGCGAAGCTCAACCTTCGACGTGCGAGACGTCGTGGGGCGGATCGCCATCGCTTCCAGTACTATCAGATAGTGACGGTTCGAGTCGCAGCGCAGGCGTCCTCAACGACGACGCGCCGCTGGGCACGCTCCTCTGGACCGCGCCCGAGGTGCTTGTGGGCAATGCAAGCAAGCCTGACCCCTTTTATGCTGACATCTACTCGTTTGGCGTGGTCATGTGGGAGATGGCGACGCGGATGCCGCCATACGGCGTCGCCTCGGACCCGGTCTCCACCGCCTTTGCCGTCATGCGCGGTTCGACTGCGCTGAGAACCGACCTCATTCCGCCACAGTTTAGTCCAGAGTACCGGACCATAGTCAGCAGCTGTCTCTCGCGACGGGTCGACCAGCGGCCGTCGCTCGATGTCATCTCGTCCGTCATCAGTCGCCTCTTTCACCCCTCGCGCGTTATCTACCCGATCCCCATGCTCGAGCCCGAGGGCGAGGTTTTCACTCTCACTCTATCACTTCCGCTCGTCGACGGCGTCCTCGCCGTCCAGCATCCGGGCGCAATCGAGAAGATCAAGGCCTTCCACGCCGTCGTCCGCGACGCGTCTCGGTCGTCGTCGGCCTTTCTCGAGTCATGGTCACTCCAGTCGGCCATCCTTGTCTGCGCCCGCATCTCGCAGCTGGCCAAGGCTCTGCTATCGATTGCCCAAGATTTGCATGAAGCCTGGGCAGCCCTTCCGTCGGCGCCGCTCGTTGTAGTCGTTGCCATCGAGTCCGGCGCGGCAACCGTCGACGGCTCGGACATTCGCTCGCCCTCGGCGACGTATGCTGGCCCTGCGCTCGTTGCTGCACACGCGCTCTGCGACGCCATGGTCGACTCTCATCACGCCGGCCTCGCCGCGACATCGTCTCGTGTATCCGCCTCGGTCTCCAGGCTCGGAACGCTGGGCACTGCCACAAGCTCAGCCACTACACCGCTCGCCACCACCTCGGACATGTCGGCTTCGGATGCAGGCTTGCCGGGCCATGGCGCCTCAGTCCGGATCCCAATGGCCGTCCTCATCGCTGGCAACTTGTGGGCTACGGTTGGCGATGCGCTCGGTATGCACGGCTTTGTACCGGCCCCTCGCCTGATGGAAGGCCCGGCGTCGCGATTGATGTGCGTTGCCAACGCCACTTCCAGTGGTCGGTGGATGATGTACGGCGCCTCGCCAGCGAGCTCGCCGTTTGAGCACATCTGGTCGCGCCTTCTCGACCTGCTGCCCGGCGCTGGTCTCACCATGTTCCCGGTCCGCGACATCGACTCCGATGCCGCCATCGCTGCTGGCTCGGGCCGCCGCCTCGGCTCGGGTTCGTTCGGCCGAGTCCACTGTCTCGCTGCTGCTGCCTGTAATGGTCAGCCCATCGCCGTCAAGACCCTGCTCCAGCCGATGCTCACCCCCGACTCGCTCATCGACTTTGTGGCGGCGCTGTTCACAGTCGAGGCTGTCACCCGCAACGTCGGCGTCGCGGTTCCCATTCTTGGCATCTGCCCCGTCAATGGCTCACTTGCCATTGTCTCGCAATATCACTCCGGCCGCTCCCTCGCTACGGTGGCTATCGGTCAACTCGAGGCTCCTGAGCGCCGTGCAATCATCCGCGCCATCTGCGTCGCAGTCCGCGACCTGCACCGCGCCGGCGTCGTCCACGGTGCCCTCAAGCCCGGCAATATTCACATCTCGCATGCCGACTCGGACCCGGATCTCGACCAGCCGCAGAGCTCGACTCCAAGCACCTCGTCGTCGCCAAGCTGCACTGTCGTGCTCTCCGACATCGGCCTCTCCTCCATCAAGTCTTCCCTCAACACCATGACCCTTTCGCCAACCGTCGCCTACATGGCGCCCGAGCTCATCCAAGGTGACATTCCCACCTTTGCATCTGACATCTACGCTCTCACCGTCCTCATCCTCGAGGTATGGGATCCGGCAACCGTCCGAGCCTCCCTCTCCGCAGCGCCCATGAAGCTCGCCATGCGTATCATGGACGCCAACGTTGTCAGTGCCACCCAGCTTGACATCGCCCTGCCGATCTGCCTTGCCCAGTTTCTCAATCAGTGTTTGGATGCCCAGCCCGAGACACGGCCATCAGCATCAGCGCTTGCCCACGCCATCCAGATGTGGATGTGAGTGCTTCGGTGCGTCAAACCGTGCAAACCGTGCGTGGATGCTGGAGCATGACCTGAAGTGAAATGAAGCTCAAGGCAACGTCGTCAGAATCGATGATCGACCATTCCGTAAAGTCGCCACAGTCAAACCAACCAACTGCTTGTCTCACGCCTCGACCACGCCAGCACGACCACACTCACTCCCCCCCTCTCCCGATCACGATGCTACCCGCCGTCACCGGATCATCCCATACCCCCACTTCCATTCCTCAACTCTCCGGCGCCGCCTCATTCTCCTACCTCGACCGAAAGCGAGGGAGAAAACGTCGCACTCTCTTCTTCCCCCCCCCCACACATCCTCGATTTACCTTGGACGCGATCACACACGCAAAACACTACACCCATAAATACCCTAAGCCCATTACCCCACTTGACCGGTATACCCTGCTCTAGCACCTGTACTTGCGCGACAACGTCACAACCAGAACCACGCACATGCCACCAAAAAAAAAAGTGGCCAGTCGCCTGTCTTGGCCGCACTGTGCAAATGACTCACTTCCCGCCACTTGGCGCGAGCGAACCGAACATGTCGTCACGACGACCGCGCCGACGGGACAGAGAGGCTGAGACAGATGCCTTTCTGGACGCTGAGCTAGCCAAGCTCATGGGAGAAGAGCCTGCCGCCACTACTTCTGCTGGTCGCCGGAGCCATGCCTCTGCCAAGCCCTCGCGCTCCTCCCGCCGACCACACCCTCCGCCTGCTCACCGAGACGGGGACAGACGCGGTGACCGGGGACGGACGCGGGACGGCGGCCGGGGGCAGGGTAGCGGCCGGGGACGGAGTGGTGGTCGAGGACGGAGCGGGGCTCGGACTCGGGCTCAGCCGCAAGGCAGAGGTGACGACGAGCTCGACGCCCTCATTGCGGCAGAGCTCGAGGGGCTGGGCGAGGCGCACGAGTCGGGCCGGGCCAAGGCTAAGGCCAAGGCCAAGGACAGGGCCAAGGCCAAGGCCAAAGACAAAGCGAAAGACAAGGCTAAGGACGGGGTGAGATTGCGAGAGTCGGACAAGGTTAGATCGCGGACTCATGAGCCGGGGGCCGACGAGCGCAGGCCGCGGGCCGACGAGCGCAGGCCGCGGGCCGACGAGCGCAGGCCGCGGGCCGACGAGCGCAGGCCGCGGGCCGACGATCATCGCCGCGATCACACCAAAGTCGACAAGCGGAAGCGGGCAGAGGCCCAAGCACGGGCAGAGGCCCAGGCAAGGGCAGAGGCAGAGGCCATGGCCGCAGAGGCCGCAGAGGCCGAAGCCCGTGCCCAGGCCAAGGCTAAGGCCAAGGCCAAGGCCAAGGCCAAGGCCAAGGCCAAAGACAAAGCGAAAGACAACGACAAAGCGAAAGACAAAGCGAACGACAAGGGGCAAGGCAAGGACAAGGCTAACGAGCCATCTCCCCCTCGGCCGGAACCCGCCCCTCTCCCGGCTCCGTCCAACACCTACCTCGACGACGACGACTGGGAAGACGACGATGCTGATGACGAGGTGGCGCGGTTTCAGCGCGAGCACGACGAGTCTCAAAAGGCTGCTGCTGCTGCTGCTGCTGCTGCTGCCCTTGCCCAGTCGGCTGCCGGAGGCGGGGATTTTACGACGACGACTTTGAGGAGCTCTCATCAAGCTCGGATGAGAGGCAACAAGCGCCGTCCCACCCGGCCTCACACTCTGATCATGCAGGGCCGGGTGGACCGGAGGGATCGCCGCCGGCGTCCAACGCCTGGATCCATGAGCACGCGTTCTCGGTGGCGCGGACCAAGCCGACGACAGTAGCCGCGGCAATGCGAACCCGTCGTCGCGGCCAGGATCTCGCGCCGCTGGTTGGCCTCGACGTCGTCGTCATCAATATGTTCGACATGGCTCCGCTCTCCGAGTACGAGTTGTACATGCAGCAGGTCGGCCGGGAGGACACCCGCCAGGTGGCGGTCCAGGTCTCGGGCGCCGAGCTGATGGAGAGCCGCGAGGTCCAGACTGACGACGTTGAGCAGAGGTCGGTGGCAATCCAGGCACCGCAAGGCCTAGCGTCCGGTCCGGTCCGCTCTGACACTCACCGCGCCACGTTTGACCGCGTCCGCCTTGCCGCCTTCCTGCAGGGCGTCGCCGCGCCGGTCTGCCAAATACTGGCCGACAACGCGCGGGCGCGGCTCACCACGGCGCTCGACGCCAGCCCATCGGACGTCCCACTCTGCTCGTCGATGGTCGCGCTTGGGAGCAGGGCGGACGCGGTGGTGGCCGTCGCCTTTGCTCAAGCGCAGGCCCACCTTGTCGCCGTTGCCTACACCAGCGGTGGTGTTTGTGTATTTGACGCCAACGCTCCGGCGTCGCCGCTGCACACACTCGACACTGGCGGCCTCGCTGTGACGTCATTTGCCTTTTCTTCGCTCCGCGCCGACGTCCTCGTCGCCGGCTTTGATGACGGCAGCCTTGCCGCGTGGGATCTTCGCGAGTCGGCGAGCCTTCACGCTCAGCACGCTGCGCAAACGCGCAAGGCCGCCTTTCCCAGCCCGGAACTCGTCCCGCGCCCCCGCTCTTGCACCGCAAGCCTCATGGTCACTCCCGACTATCCGCATACCCGTGGCGGCATCGTCGGCACCACCACATTCCATTCGGCCGGAACCCAGATGGCGGTCTCACTCGACGCGTCGGGTGTGGTGGCAACGTGGACGCTGACCGGGAGCGGGCCGACCCGCCGCGCGCTGGGCGCCGGCTCGCGCACCGCACTTGGTCGGGCCGTCTTTGCTGGCCTCGAATTCAAGCACCTCGCGTCGTTTGCGGCGGTCGGCGGCGCTACCGCGACCCGCCTCTCCGCCACCTCGCTCTGCACTGCCGCAGACTCGGGCGACGCACTCCTGCTCGGTCTCTCCGATGGCCGCATCCTGCACAAACGCCGCGGCGGCTCCGGTGCCGCACTCTGCCCACCATCTTACGGCGCTGCCGGCTCTGCAGCCGTGACTGTCGTCACCCGCTCCATCGGCACGCCGACGCTCGTCGCTGCAGGCACTGCCAGCGGCAGGCTACTAGTCTTTGCGCCCGCGCTTGCCGACCCGGTCCTCACACTTAATCTCTCGCCGAGCTCGGCGGCTGTCGTCGACATCACTTGGTCGCCGGCCCGCCCCTCGCTATTTTTTGCCACCGCTGCCTGCGGCACCCTCGCCGCCTTTGACCTCCTCGCTTCACTCACTGGGCCGATCCACACTGCTTCGCTCTCTTCTGCGCATCTCGCCCACTCGCACTCGCGCACCCCTACCCTTCTCCTCGCGCGGGACACCGCTGCCGCCACTGCTTCGACCACCCTCGAGCTGCACATCCTCGATGCCTGGGCCATGGCCTGGACCCGTTCTGACGAGGATGCCTGGATTCATCTCGCCGACCATCTGGTCCAGTCCCTTCATGGCTGATCAGCCCCAACCCTCTCCCAACACAACACCACGCCACGCCACCTAAATCACCTTTGTAACCTCCACAAAGTCGCCAAACCACCCCACCCCACCCCCCCCCCCCCCCCCCCACCCCCTCACCCCTATCCGTCATGGACGAGGAGGGCCTTGCCCTCCGTGCTGCCCATGCTCTCCGGGAGAACGCGGTGCTACACCATGGCAAGCCCGCCCCGACCCCGAGCCTCGGCCGCAACCACAGCTACGACGGGAGCCATGGACCAGACCACAGGCATGCCCACGGCTCGGACGAGTTGCACTCGCGCCACTCGGCTCTCTCGTCATCGTCGTCAGACGGCTCCTTCCTTCGCCCGCGTCACTCGTACTCGTCATCCTTTGGGAGCTCGGCCAATGAGGCCGGCTCGACTACCTCGGCTGATACCTCGGTCCTTGCTGCCGATGTCGGCATTCTGGGCGAGTCGCGCATGGAGACTGCCGCCCGCCAAGAGTCGGCTGCTGCTGCTGCTGCTGCTGCTGCGACTGCTGATGCTGGAACTGGTCGGGGCCGCTCGTCATCGTCGGCGGCCCCTGCCTTTGATGCGATTCTTCCGCCTCGGACGCCATCGCGCACGCCATCGGCCGGCTTCGCCCGCCGCTCGCCCGCACTTCCGGCGCTCCCGCTTCTCTCGGCGCGCAACTCGCCATCGCCGACCCGCGCGCTTCCGCCTATCACTCCGCCGCTGCAGGCCGAGGGGGCGAGCCCGGAAGGCTCGAGCAGAGTGTCGGACGACGACGACGGCGAGATCGACGGGGAAGACAATAAGGAAGTCGTGTTTGAGATGGAGGCCGGAACACGGCCAGCGAGCGGGACGGCGCTGCATCCGCGCGATGGCAAAATCCGGGCCTGGCTCTACTGCGTCTTTCTCGCCATTGTGTACAACGCACTCTCTGTCCCGTTCCTCATTGCCATGACCGACCGGTACTCGGCTCGGATCTGGACCTGGATCGTGGCCAATGTCCTCGCTGACCTTGTGTATCTGGCGGATATTGTGGTCCATGCGTACTTTGTCGGATACTACAACGAGGGCTTCCTCGAGCTCGAGCGCGGGACCGTGGCGCGGCACTACTTTAGCGGCCAGTTTCGACTCGACGTTCTTGCGCTCCTCCCGCTTGACTACGTCCTGCTTGCCGCATCGCTGCCGGACCTGGCCATTGTGCTGCGGCTGCTGCGGCTGCTGCGGCTCACGCGGGTCGGGCCTATGTTCTCGACCTGGGAGTTCAACTCGTCCAAGCCGACGGTCTTCCGGCTCGGCCGGCTGCTCTGCGTCCTCGCCTTTGCCGTCCATCTTGTTGCGTGCTCTTTCCTTTGGCTCATGCGGCTCGAACGCCACGAGTACCTCTCACTCGACGACGAGTTTCTCCTCTTTACCAATTTTCGCAACTTTGGCCCGATCACCTCGTACACCCACGCCGTGTACTGGGCCTTCACCCTCATGTCTGGCCTCGGCGTCGACCACTCGCTGCCGTCGACCACCGCCGAGATGGCCTTTACGCTCGCGTGCATCGTCGTCGGCCTTTTTCTCCTTGCGCTCATTGTCTCGTTCATTTCCGAGATTGTCCACGCTCGGACCTCGCACCAGCGGTCGTTCCAGAAGAAGCTCGACGCTATCAACGCGTACATGGCGTTGCGCTCGGTCCGCAAAGACTTGCAGGACCGCATCCGCGCATACTATGAGGTGCTTTGGATGCGTGGCGCCGGCATCGACGACCTCTCGGTCCTGCGCTCGCTTCCATCGCACTTGCGGACCCAGCTGACGCTCTCGCTCAACGAATCCATTGTCCGGGCGGTGCCCTTCTTTGCCACTTGCCAGCCGGGCTTTATCCGCGCCCTTGTTCCGCGCCTTGTTCCGGAACTCTTCACCGATGGCGACATTATTGTCCGCGAGGGCGACGTCGGCCGCTCGATGTACTTTGTCCAGCGCGGAACGGTGGCCATCGAGCTGCCGGACGGCTCACGGTGCGCCCAAAAGGGCCAGGGCGAGTTCTTTGGCGAAATCGCACTCCTGCTCCCGCTCCGCCGCACCGCCACCGTCGTCGCCCTCACCACCGTCTCGGTTTTTCGCCTCAACAAGGCCGACGTCGACGAGGTCCTCAAGCACTACCCAGAGCAGGCTGAAATGCTCAAGGCGGTTGCCTACGAGAGACTCGCTCGCGGCCACGCCGCTATGTCCAGGCGCCGCCTCGCGCTCTCGGCTGCGTCGGCCTTTTCCGCCGCCGGCCAGGCTTATCGCGCTCGCTACGGGCAGCAGCCCGGCAGCGGCGGCAGCGGCGGTGACTCGCCAGCCAGCCCGAGCTCGCCAGGTGACTCGGAGGCCTCGGCCCCGTCGCCGGTGCCCATGCGCCCGGGCCCGGTCCGCGAGACCTCGGTCCGCTCGTTTGCCTCGGACATGAGCGAGACGTCGTCGACCTCCATTCGCGACCGAAAGGCCAACGTCAGCTCGGTCCAGTCGTCGGTCACCATCTCGCTTCCGCTGCTCAAGGCGGCCCAGGCTGCCAAGCGAGCCGCCGCCGTCTCGGCCGCCGCCGCCACCACCGGCGCCGACCCGTCGCCGCGCCTTGCGTCGGCGGCGTTGGCGGCGTCGCTGACCGGGTCGTCAGGACCCAATGGTCTCAACGCCACAGCGCCGGCCCTCGCCCATATAGCGTCGTTGCCGACCTCGCCGACGTCGACGAGCGAAGCGAGTCGGGCCTTGCGCTCCACCCTCACTCACTCATCGTCTGACGTTCGCATGGTCACCTCGGGCTCGATGGAGTCGGTTGCTGCCGTCCTCACCGACACCTCGGCAACAACTGTAGTCCGCGCGCTGGTCGGCATGCCAGGCGGCTCGCTTGTCAGCTCGGCATCACTCGAGGAGTTTACCTCTGCCGAGCTCGTTGTTCTCATGCAGCGGTGCACCGAGCTGCAGGCCGCGGCACAGGCTGTGCTCCTCGAGCATCCTGCAGTGGCCGGTTCAACTGATCAGGCGACACCGCCGCTGGGCGAGTCGGACCAGGAGCTCATTGTGCGGCGGCACAAGGCGCGCCGGGTAATGAGCGCCGTATTTGCCGCCCAGCCGCGGCGGTAAGCTCGCGCCAGAGGTTAACAGAAGAGCTTGGCCTCGGCGTGGCCCGGATGCTGCAGGGCGCGGCCCCAGTGGTAGCACCACGGCGTGCCGTCGACCGAGATGTACGGCGGTAAGCGGCCGACGTTAGCGGCAACGAGATTGAGGACGATGCGTGCGAGGTTCGACGCAAACGAACCGATGACATACCCGCCGTGCACGAGGTGGTCGAGGTCGGCCAAGACCCGCAGCCCTTCCTCGGTCCGGTTAAATCGCGCATCCTGCAGCTTGAACTCGATGTCTTGGTGGAAGCCGCTCTTGCCGAGCTCTGTGTATGCTTCGCGGCTCATGTCCTGGTAGACAAAGAGCCATCCCGAGCCAGCGACAGCGTAGCGATCAGCAATGTCGCGGATGATGGCTGCCGAGTCGGTGGCGAGCCGGATGGTGGAGACGCCGTACGCGGCCTTCATCGCCTCGGCCGCCTCCATATACGTCGACAGCGGGAGGCAGTGTCGGAAGCGGCGGACGTCCTTGCACGAATCGCCGTGTCGGATGTGCATGGCAATGGCGCGGTGCGAGGGCCGGTAGCCGGCGGCGAGGACCGGGTCGCCGACAACCACAAATCTGATCCGCGCCCGCGCGTCGGCCAGCATCGCCTCCTGCGGCGCCCACAGATATGAGAGGAGTATGGTCTGCATCCAGAACACACCCTTGCTGGCGTCGGCGTAGCGAGGCGGGACAAAGTGCGGGCGGGTAACGCCTGACACCTCGTGCCGGCGCAGCTCGACGTTGCTGATCGGATCGCCAAAGGCCATGATGTGCGGCGAGGGCCAGGCCCAGCCACGCGGACGGACGCACTTGCCACGAATGGGGAGCTTGATGAAGCAGGTAAAGTCGGCGGCGGGACAGTCAGCGCGCTCAGCATAAGGAAACTTGTTCTTGACCTCGTAGCTGGGCATGATGGCGAGGCCGTGGCACTCGGTGAGTGCGTGAAGCAGCGGGCTGGTGAAGAACTGCAGGTTAGAGCCGAACCCGTTGTTGGGCGTCTCGTATACATGGACAACCTCGTCGCAGGCGCTCAGGCATTGCTCAAGCCGCTCGACGAGATGCACCACATGGGCATCGGCAGCAGGATGGAAGATGTCTAGCGGCGAGAACGGCCTCGCTCGGCCCCGCGCCCCGGCGGAGGCGGCCACAAGGTCTGGGCCCCATCCGACGCCGACCTCGGCCGGATCCAGTACGTCTACAGCCTGCGGCAGGTATTGTGTCTCCTGGAACACGTCGTGGGTACAGCGATGGCCAAAAAGTCCGGACCGCAGCGACAGGCACGCGAGGCCGGGATCATCTCGCCCTGCAGCGAGCACTGCGGCGATCGGCGCGGGAGCGTGTCGACGGGCGGAGCGAGAGCCCAGGAGACGAGCGAGGGCACATCATGAAAGTCAATCCATCTCGCAAGAGCCCCTGGAAGTGGCGAGTCGGGCACCACCAGTGATGCCGGCTGAACCCGCGCCCGCTCGTGCGGCGGCACAAACATAGCCGACCGGACGGCGTGATGGTGCATGTGAAGGGCGAGGAGGAGCCAGACCATGGTTCCGGCCAGCAAGCATACTCTCCAGCACCACTCCCTCCAGCTACATCTCCAGTTCCACACCTGCAGCCGCCTGCGCCATGTCTTGTTGGTCTCCCGCCCCTTCTTGCCCATGCCAAGCACCTCCCACCGAGTGCTGTGGTGCGTAACCAGCTCGCGTCCGTCCGTCCGTCCGTCCGCCCGTATCGCGCCCCATCGGCCGATGCCGACATCGATGTCGATGTCGATGTCGACGATGCCCAATCCAAGTCACAACAAAGCTATCTTGCATTGTTTGCTCTCTTTGCTCTGCCGTCAGAGTGAGAAGGAGAAGGAGAAGGAGAAGCGAAGGTTCCGAGTCGGAACGAGCCGACCTCCCTCCTCCCCTCCCCCCCCCCCCCCCCCCTCGGGCCAATGCAATGCCGGGCGATGTGATGTGATGCCGATATGATGTGGTGTGGTGTGGTGTGGCGTGGTGTGATGTGGTGTGTGATATGTGATGCCGGGCATGGCGGGATCTTTGGCTGGGGAGGGGAGGATATGGGGGTGTGGGGGGTGGGTGTGTGGGGGTGTGTGTGGGGGTGGGGGCGAGTGTGTATTGAGAGTGAGAGTGAGTATGAGCAATCGTCGGGAGGGACGACCACCACTCTTGCTCAATCGACACTTGGCCAACATGTCGAACATGATGGTACGTACCCTCCCCCCCCCCCCCGTGAGTGACGACATACCCACTCTTTGTGGTATGGCTAGAGAGTGATGATGATGGTGGTGCTTGTGGTGGTGGTGATGGTTGCAATGGTGGTGGCGGTGTGTGTGTGTGTGTGTGTGTGTGTGTGTTGGTGGCAACAAGGTAGAATTGAATGGGCGGGAAGGTCGGCGCCAAAGGACGCCCCCCCCTCCCTCCCCCACAACTCCCTCTGGTAGGCCGGGATAAGGAGGGGAGGCAAGCCATACAGGGGATGGTCATGTGGGCCACCATGCTAGGGTGCTTACCATGACTACAGTAGGGACATGGCTCTGTTTGTCATGGCCATGGGTGGTATGGTGGGTGGAGGAAGTGGCCGCAAAGGCGAGGCGACCTTGCATTTTTTGGATGGGCCGAGAATGCGGGGTTGGGCCCGGTTGGGCTGGAAGGGGGGGCGGGAGGCTGCCGAGGGAAGGGGGACTGACGGGGAGAGACGACGACAATGGGACGGTGTTACTGAGGATAGCAACCTCAGATTATCCTTCTCAAGGAAGGGACGGACGACTCGCAGGGCAAGGGCCAGCTGCTGACCAACATTGCGGCGTGCCAGGCTGTGGTGGAGACCATTGCTACCACGCTCGGCCCGCGCGGGATGGACAAGCTGATCAAGTCGGAGACCGGCGAGGTGACCATTTCCAACGACGGGGCGACGGTGCTGTCGCTGCTGGAGGTTGTGCACCCTGCGGCACGGACTGTGGTCGACATTGCGGCGTCTCAGGATGCTGTTGCGGGCGACGGGACGACGTCTGTTGTTCTCCTTGCCGGCTCGTTCATGCAGGCGGCCAAGGAGTACATCCAGGACGGTGTCCACCCGCAGGTCATCATCCGGGCATTCCGCAAGGCTGGTGCGCTCTGCAAGGAGCGGATCAAGGAGATCTGCGTGTCTGTCGGCGACGTGGCCGGGTCGGACAACGTGACGGATCTGCTGATCAAGTGCGCCGGGACGGCGATGTCGTCCAAGCTCATCCACCACCAGAAGGCCTTCTTTGCGCCGATGGTCGTGGAGGCGGTCAAGACGCTCGACGACGACCTCGACCTCAACATGCTCGCGATCAAGAAGGTGACCGGCGGCGCGTTGCAGGACTCGATCCTGGTCAAGGGCGTGGCGTTCAAGAAGACCTTTTCGTACGCCGGCTTTGAGCAGCAGCCCAAGACGTTTGCCTCGCCGGGCGTCCTGCTCCTCAACGTCGAGCTCGAGCTCAAGGCCGAGAAGGACAACGCCGAGATCCGCATCGACGACGTTTCCGAGTACCAGCGCATTGTCGACGCCGAGTACCGCATCATCAACGACAAGCTGGAGGCCATTGTCGCCACCGGCGCCAAGGTCATTCTTTCCAAGCTGCCCATCGGCGACCTGGCGACCCAGTTCTTTGCCGACCGCGGCCTCTTCTGCGCCGGGCGGGTGAACAAGGCCGACCTGACCCGCGTCTCGCGTGCCACTGGCGCGTCCATCCAGACCTCGGTCAACGGGCTCACCTCCGACGTTCTCGGCACGTGCGAGAAGTTTGAGGAGGTTCAGGTGGGTGACGAGCGGTACAACTTCTTCACCGGCTGCCCCGAGTCGCGGACGGCGACCATTGTGCTCCGCGGCGGCGCCAAGCAGTTTATCGACGAGGCCGAGCGCTCGCTCCACGACGCCATCATGGTTGTCCGCCGTGCCATCAAGACGCCGTCGGTGGTCGCCGGTGGCGGCGCCATCGAGATGGAGCTCTCGCGCTTCCTCCGCGAGCACGCCCGCACCATCCGTGGCAAGTCGCAGATCCTCATCAACGCCTTTGCCAAGGCTCTCGAGGTCATCCCGCGCCAGCTCTCCAACAACGCCGGCTTTGACTCGACCGACATCCTCAACAAGCTCCGCCAGCGCCACGCCATGGACGACGGCATCTGGTACGGTGTCGACGTCACCACCGGCGACATCTGCAACACCCTTGAATCGTTTGTCTGGGAGCCGACCCTCATCAAGCTCAACGCCATCGGCGCCGCCGTCGAGGCCACCAACATGATTCTCTCCATCGACGAGACCGTCAAGGCTCCGCCCTCCAAGGTCGGCGACAAGCACGCGCTTCCGGGCATGTAGACACGCTCCGCCTCCTGTTTGTGTGAAGGATCAAAGCCCCCCCCCCCCACCCCCACCCCAAGTCCAAGGTTAAGAAATTGAATTGTAACGCCCAGTCGATGTACTGCCCTGCCTTCTTCACCTTTGGCAGTGCGGGCGGTGTGTGGCTTGAGCCATGACAGCGAGAGCCCACCGCCACCGCGCCACCTCCACCGCGCCACCGCACGCCACCGCGCCACCATCACTGCTCTTTGGTTCTTCCTCGGTCTTTCATGGCACGCCGGCGGTATGTGCGGGGCAGTGGCCGGGGAGGGAGGGGGGGGGGGAGGGAGGAGGAGGGGGAGGAGGGAGGGGGGGCGGGGGCAGTTGATGTATGAAAGCCCCCCCCCCCCCCATCCCCACCCCAGGTCCAAGGTTAAGAAATTGAATTGTAACGCCCAGTCGATGTACTGCCCTGCCTTCTTCACCTTTGGCAGTGCGGGCGGTGTGTGGCTTGAGCCATGACAGCGAGAGCCCACCGCCACCGCGCCACCTCCACCGCGCCACCGCACGCCACCGCGCCACCATCACTGCTCTTTGGTTCTTCCTCGGTCTTTCATGGCACGCCGGCGGTATGTGCGGGGCAGTGGCCGGGGAGGAGGGGGGGGGGGAGGAGGAGGAGGGGGAGGAGGAGGGGGGCGGGGGCAGTTGTGGTGCGGTGCTGTGCGGTGCGGTGCGGTGCGGGGGGAGGGGGCGGGGCTCTGTCTGTGCGTGTGTGTATGGGGGGATTTGGAGTGGGAGGAGGTGCGGAGGTGTATGCGTGTGTGTGTGCAGGAGAGAGGGCAGGGGCACTTATGGTGTGTGTGCTTGTGTGTGTGTGTGTGCGTGTGTGTGTGTGTGTCTCCATGCCGTGGGTCGCAGTGGCAAGAGAGGCAAAGGTGTCCCGGCAGGCCGCAGGAACGGTGGCGGGGCAGGGCCCGTAGCTGATGCAGGAGCCGAGGCCGTAGTCGTTGCAGGGGCTGCGGCTAAAGTCGCTGCTGATACCGGCGGCGCCGAGCCCGCAGCCGATACCGCGGCTCACACCACACAAGCAGCAGCAGTTGGATCTACCCCCAAAGGGCCGGCAGCGGCGACAGATGGGCACACTGATGGCGCCCCTGGTACCGCTGCAAGCACCGCCCCTGACACCGCTACAGGAGGCACCGCTGCAGGCACGGCTGCAGCCACCGCCCCTGTCACCGCCCCTGGCACCGCTGCAGGCACCGCTGCAGGCGATCCGCGCGCAAAGGACCCTGTCACGGCCAGGATGCGTGCGCGTGCAAGCTCGGGCGGTGCGTCGTCCGACGACGGGAGTGTAGAATCGGCCGGTGGCGGCAGGCGGCCGCGGACAGGTTCAGGCTCGTCGTCGTCGGCGGCTCGGAGCAGAGTCCTGCGAGTCGGCGTCAATCCGCTCCGCCGCCGTGGCTCGTCGTCAAGCCTCCTCGCCTCGCCACGCCACGCCCCCGCCCGCCACCGCGGCTCGGGCACCGCTGCCGAGCCGACCCTCGACTTTACCTCCATCCGCTCGCTGCTGGTCGACACATCCGCGCTGGCGCACGCTGTCTTTGTTCTTGACGGCGTCCAGCACGAGCTTGAGTTTGATCGCGCCGCCCCGTACTCTCACGTCCGTACACTCGTCCATGAGGCCTTTGACGCGCCGCTGGACTCGCTCGCCATCTACTACGACTTTGGCCACAACTCGTCGCTGGAAATCACCAACGATGACGAGCTCAACGCCGCCCTCGTCACCTGGATCGGTGCCCCACCAGAGGTCTTCCGCTTGGAGCGGCGGCCGTAGCCCCACCCCAACCGCAGCAGCACACGAATGAATCGATGCTGTCGCCGACAGGGCCTCTCGGGCTTGCTCGCCCAATGGGTCGAACAGACGCCAACATTGGCCCAATCCCAATCCCGATCCCGATCCGGATCCCGATCCCGATCCGGATCCTGTCCCCTCTCACACCGGCCACCACCCAACTCGCAAACATGGCTGCGACTAACGAGACCCCCACTTCGGAGGAGGTGTGCATTGGCATCGACCTCGGTACCACCTACTCTTGCGTCGGTGTCTGGCAGGTACGTACACTGCTTCATTCTCTCCCCTTCCCCCCTCCCCCGGACCGAACACTCCTGTGTCGCTGCGGATGGGCTCGTCCACCATCCCAATCCACCCGCCCTCCCCCTCGTTCCCCCCCCCCCCCCCCCCTCCTTTCCCCTCTCCCCCCCCCCCCTCCTACCCGACCAACCTTCCATCCTCCCTTCCTCCCCTCCTGTATTTCTCGTGCATCTGTCACCCCCTATCCCCATGCGCTGTCCTCTGTCCTGGATCTATTTGCGCCAGGCCAGCGGTTATCGTCTATTGCAACTTGTGCAGCCTTTTCCTGAACTCACTCCACTTGGGCAAACGTCCACAGAACGACCGCGTGGAGATCATCGCCAATGAGCAGGGCGACCGGACGACGCCGTCGTGCGTGGCGTTCACCTCAGAGGGCCGTCTTGTGGGCAAGGCTGCGGCGAACCAGGCCGGCATGAACCCGACGAACACGGTCTTTGACGCCAAGCGTCTCATCGGTCGTCTTGTGGACGACGCGGTGATCAAGCAGGATCTCGAGCACTGGGCGTTCAAGGTTGTGGGCAACTCGGATCACAAGCCGCTGATTGAGGTCGCCGACGCCGGCGAGGACAAGCAGTTCACGCCTGAGGAGATCTCGTCGATGGTGCTGATGAAGATGAAGGAGACCGCCGAGGCGTACCTCGGCAAGGCGGTGACGTCTGCTGTGATCACGGTGCCTGCGTACTTTAACGACTCGCAGCGTCGGGCGACGCAGGATGCTGGTGTCATTGCTGGCCTCAAGGTCCTCCGGATCATCAACGAGCCGACGGCGGCGGCCATCGCGTACGGCCTCGACAAGTCGGCAGAGAAGGGCTCGAAGAACGTGCTCATCTTTGACCTTGGTGGCGGTACCTTTGATGTCTCGCTCCTCAACATCAACAACGGCATCTTCTCGGTGCTCGCCACGGCCGGTGACACCCACCTCGGCGGTGAGGACTTTGACAACAACATGGTGGCGCACTGCCAGGCCATCCTGACCAAGAAGCACTCGAAGGACATCTCGGGCAACCCGCGCGCCCTGCGCCGCCTGCGCACCGCCTGCGAGCGCGCGAAGCGCGCTCTCTCGGCCTCGACCTCTGCGGTCATTGATGTCGAGTCGCTTGTCGACGGCATTGACTTCCGGACCAAGGTCTCGCGTGCCAAGTTTGAGGCTATGAACGAGTCGCTCTTCCAGGCTTGCCTCGAGCCGGTCGGCCGCGTCCTCGCCGACGCTGGCATGGCCAAGGGTGAGGTTACCGACGTTGTGCTTGTCGGTGGCTCGACCCGCATCCCCAAGATCCAGGAGATGCTCCGCGACTTCTTTGGCGGCAAGGAACTGAACCAGTCGATCAACCCCGACGAGGCTGTCGCCTACGGTGCCGCCGTCCAGGCCGCCATCATCACCGGCCAGTCGACCGGCGCCTCCAAGGATCTCCTCCTCCTCGACGTGACCCCGCTCTCGCTTGGCGTCGACACCATCGGCGGTGTCATGAACGTCGTCATTCCGCGGAACACCAAGATCCCGTGCAAGAAGGAGGACTTTTCACCACCACCGAGGACGGCCAGACCGAGGTTGACTTTGACATCTACGAGGGCGAGCGCCCGCACGTCGACTCGAACAACAAGCTCGGCGGCTTTGCCCTCCGCGGCATCCCGCCCATGAAGCGCGGCGAGGCCAAGCTCACCGTCACCATGTCCATCGACGCCAACGGCATCCTCACCGTCGAGGCCGTCGACAACGCCTCGGGCAACCGCGCCGACGTCGTCATCAACAACTCGGCCGGCCGCCTCTCGCAGACCGACATCGACCGCATGGTCGCCGAGGCCCAGCGCCACCGCCATGAGGACGCCCGCATCCGCAAGGCCCAGAAGCTCCGTTCCGAGCTCGAGGAGTTTGCCCATGCCGCCCGCGACGCCATCGAGGCCCTCGTCGACGAGCGCATCCGCGTTCCCGAGGCCTCCGTCGACGCCGTCGACGAGGCCGTCAACGCCGCCCTCGAGTGGCTCGACGAGAACCCGACCGCCGACCCTGACGAGATCACCGCCGCCCACAAGGCCCTCGACGATGTCTACAAGCCCGTCTACACCGCCGGCCTCCGCGAGAAGCGCAAGAAGATGCGGAAGGTTGCCGAGCGCGAGAAGGCCAACAGCCGCCGCCGTTAACGTAAAAACAACAACATGCATGTGCATTGTCCTCTCCATTCGAGTCTTTTATGTGCTGTAGTGGATGGGTGCCCATCAGCTCGACGGGCCAAACGCTGCGGCAAAGTCGGCCTCAAACGCAACCGGAGCGGCGGCGGAAGACGTGCTGCCGCGGCTGGCTGCCTCGACTGCGCTTGTCGACGCGCCAAACGCTGCAGCAAAGTCGGCGTCAAACGGCACAGCCGACGCGGCGGCGGGATCCTCGTTGGCTACGGGCTCGGACGAATCCCCGACCAACTCGGCGGTGGCGGTCTCTCCCGTGCCGGCGGCGGCGGCGGCGGCGGCAGCGGCGGAGACAGACGCGGAGCTGGTGCCGGCGGCTCCGCCGAGCTCGCCGAGCGCATCGAGCTCACCGCCCTGCTGCGCCTGGAGAACGCCACGGCGGGCGGCGAGCTCGGGCGAGACCGGGCACGAGGTCGAGTCGTTGAGTGCGAGGGCGGCGGCGAGCTCGCCGGACTCGTAGCTCTCGAGGCCTTCGTTGCCAAACGGAGCATCGCCAAACGCTTTCCGGAGGTGGCGCAGCGCCAGGTTGATGTGCGCAGCATGCTGCGGGCGGGTCGCCTGATGGGCAGACGAGCTGCCGGGCGGGAGGGCGGCGACGGCGCGCGCGAGCGCATCCACCACCTCGGAGCTGCGCAAGACCTCAGGCTTGCGCACCGCGAGCTCGGACGTCCACCCAACGACCACGTTGTGGAAAATGTTGTTCCACGGGTAGTCGGCAAAGGCAATGTCGAGAAGGGCAGGCACGGCGGCGTCGGCGCTGGAGAGGTCAGCGCGCGACATGGCGACCAGCGCGCGTGCCAGCGCCAGCCGGCCCTCGCCGAGCGGGTTTGGCACCGGCCCTGCCTGCAGAACCAGGTCCGAGCCGACCGACGCGTTCCGGAACGCGTCCACTGCAGCGTCGACCACAGCATGCTCGTCAACAGCCTTGGTGAGGGCGGCAAAGGCTGGGAGTGCGGTTGCAGCATACGTTTGCGGCGAGGCCCGGATGGCCCAAAGGGTGAGGACGCACATGGCGACTTCAACAATGACCGAGGCCTCGCGGAGCCGCGACTCGGGCGCACGTGGCGTCTCCAGAAGCGCTGCGACAATGAGCGCCGCCAGCTCGGGGCTTGCAAAGATGGCTGCAATGAGGTTGAGTGGCGGGAGGTCGGCGTCGGGGACCGGGCCGGCTGTCCGCGGCACCGGCGGCGCTGCGGCGTCGCAGAGAGCCTCAAAAGCCATCAGCGCGCCGATGCTGGCCTGACTGCCGACCCAGGACGGAAGACCGTCGAGGCGTGGCTCGCGAGCCAGTCCGACTCGAACAAGCGACGCCGGCACGTCGGCGTCAAGCAGCATGCTCGCCACCGTCGTCTGCCACTCGCGCAGGGCGTGCGGCGCCTCGTCCTCCACGCCGGGCAGGCCTCCAGTGGTATCCGCCGCGCCGCCGCCGTCGGCCCGCAGCATCCCCACCAGACCCTGAATGAGCGCGACCGCGCCGTCGAGATGGAGCCAGCACATGGCGCCGGCAACCGCTGTCCGGACGGTGGCCACCACTTCGGGCGACCGGGTCTTGCACACGGCATGGACGAGGATCGACGAGACGTAGCCGGCGACGACCGGATGCGGCGAATGCGGGAGGACCAGAAACGTGGCCTCCGGGTCAGCGGCAGACTCGGCCGCCGGTGCGGCGGAGAAGAGAGCAGAAAGTCGGGCAAGGCCAGGGCCATCGACCAGGGCAGCGAGGACAGAGCGGACGCCCGAGGAGAGGACGGCCGTGGCGGCGGTGGCCGTGGCGAGGTCGGCCTCAGGCACGGCAGCCGGGGCCAAGACAGCATCGACCAGTTCATTCATATGTCCTGCAACATACGACAAAGCCTTGGCCGATCCGCCGTGCAGCTCCTGCAGCAGCTGCGGCTGGGCGAGGACGTCGGCCAGCGGCGCCTCGCTGCCTTGGGCGAGCAGCTTGTCGAGCTCGGTCTCCTGGTGGAAGCGGGCAAAGAAGGTCATGACGGGTGGGGGTTTGGGTGTGTGTGTGTGTGGTATGTGTGTAGGGTGTGTGTGGATGTGGATGGGGGGGGTTGGGGTTGGGGGGTGGAGTGTGTGTGTGTAGGGTGGTTGTGGATGGTGTGTGAGGGGGGGTGGGTGGCTGCCTGGCTCGGCTGCCACTTGCTGGTTGCGTGGCAGAAGGAACAACTGGTGCAATGTTCGTGGCGTTGCCGCGTTTACCCATTGTTCCAACCTTTGATCGATCACGTTATCGTTCGGCTTGTCGTTCGTTTGATCGATCACGTTATCGTTCGGCTTGTCGTTCGTTTGATCGATCACGTTATCGTTCGGCTTGTCGTTCGTTTGATCGATCACGTTATCGTTCGGCTTGTCGTTCGTTTGATCGATCACGTTGTTGTTCATTCGATCGTTCGTTTGATCATGCCAAATACATTGCCCCGCCAACCCCCTCCAACCCCCCACCAGTACCCGAAGACCGACACACCCAGCTGAAAAACAACAAGATGGAGAAGGTTCGCGAGAAGATCCGCAAGTACCAGCAGGACATTGACGATGCCAACGACCGTGTCGCCGACCTCGAGGAGCAGCTCAACGTACGTCATGCCCACATCTGCCGAGCCGAGTTGGCGACCTGTCGGGCGGGGAACGGCGGGGGGAGGGGGGGGCGGGGGAGCGGGGAGGAGGGAGGGAGAGAGGGGGGGAGGGGAGGGGAGGGTGACACCAGGGGGCAATCAACAAGCAATGACCACATTCTGCTGCCATACAGACACACACCGCGCGCAGTGGTGGCGTGTGCGCCCGCTACCGGGCGCCTCACCCGCCATGCATCCGGGCGGGCAAAGGGCTTTATTTTTTCGGGCGAAGCGGGCAAGTGGCTGCGGAAGAAGGGCGGCAAGTGGGAGGGGTGCGGGACTCACGCAGTGGGCTGTTGGAGGAATGCAGGCTGCCAACGAGCGGGCCGAGAACGAGGAGCGCCGTGCTGACGACCTCAACCGCAAGCTGACCCTCGCCCAGGAGCAGCTTGACGCCCTTGAGGAGCGCATCGCCGCCGAGAACACTGCCGAGCAGCTGCAGCAGGCCGTCATCCGGGCCGAGACTGCCGAGCGCAAGGTCGCCGATCTCGAGACCCAGCTCGAGGAGGCCGACGACAAGGTCAAGGCCGCCGAGGAGAAGGCCGAGGCCGCCTCCAACCAGCTCTCCGAGATGCTTCGCGAGCTCGGCATCGAGTAAACAGCTCTTCTCCCCCACACACGCCCAACACACTCGCTGCAGATCATCACAGCCAAGAGACCTATGTTTTACTCCTTCTTCTTCTCGTCCTTCTCCTCCGACACGTCGCGGTAGTCGGCATCGACGACGGTCTCGTCGACATCATCGGCGGTATCCTCCTTGCCCGCCTTGAAGATGGCCTCGTTGGTGGCGGCGAGCTCCTTCTGCAGCTCGGTGGTGAGCTTGGCAATGTCCTTGGCCTCGCCGTCGGCGTCGACGGCCTCGCGGACCTTTGAGATGGCGCCGTCGAGCTTCTCCTTGAGCTCCTCGGTCACCTTCTCCTTCTGGTCGTTGAGCGTCTTCTCGGCGTTGTAGATGGCCGACTCGGCGGCGTTCTTGGCCTCGGCCTTGGCCTTGCGGGCCGCGTCCTCTTCGGCGTACGTCTTGGCCTCCTCGACCATCTTCTCGATCTGGTCCTGCGAGAGGCCTGACGCGGCCTCAACGGTGATCCGCTGCTCCTGGCCAGTCTTCTGGTCGCGGGCCGAGACCGTGAGGATGCCGTCCGAGTTGATCTCAAACTCGACGTCGATCTTGGGCTGGCCGGCCGGCGCAGGGTTGATGCCGGTCAGCTGGAAGTTGCCCAGCAGGTTGTTGTCGATGGCCAGCTTGCGCTCGCCCTGGAAGACCGAGATGTTGACCTCGGTCTGCCCGTCGACCGCCGTCGAGAACGTCTTGGCCTTCTTGCACGGAATCGCGGTGTTCCGCTTGACGAGCGGCGTAAAGACGCCGCCGAGCGTCTCAATGCCGACCGAGAGCGGCGTGACGTCGATGAGCAGGACGTCCGAGGTCGAGCCGTCGAGCACGCCGCCCTGGATGGCGGCGCCCATCGCCACGGCCTCGTCCGGGTTCACGCCCTTGTACGCAGCCTTGCCAAAGATGGCCTCGACCGTCTCCACAACCTTGGGCATCCGCGTCATACCGCCAACAAGGACTACCTGGTCGATGTCGTCCGGCTTGAGCGACGCGTCGGCGAGGCACGCCTCGCACGGCGCCACCGTCCGCGCAATAAGGTCGCCAACCAGCGACTCGAGCTTCGCCCGTGACAGCGACAGGTCCAGGTGCTGCGGGCCCTCGGCCGTCGCAGTGATGAACGGCAGGTTGATCTGCGTCTGCGTCGTCGACGAGAGCTCCTGCTTTGCCTTCTCCGCAGCCTCACGGAGCCGCTGCAGCGCCAGCGAGTCGGTTGAGAGATCAATGCCCTTCTCCTTCTTGAACGACTCGAGCAGAAAGTTGGTGATCGCCGCGTCCATGTCCTCGCCGCCGAGCGCCGTGTCGCCGTTGGTCGCCTGCACCTCAAACACACCCTCGGACACCTCCAGAATCGAGATGTCAAACGTGCCGCCGCCCAGATCGTACACCGCAATCGTTTGCGAGCCCTTCTGGTCCATGCCGTACGCCAGCGCCGCAGCCGTCGGCTCGTTGAGGATCCGGATGTTGGAGAAGCCCGCAATCTCACCAGCGTCCTTGGTCGCCTGCCGCTGCGAGTCGTTAAAGTACGCCGGGACCGTGATCACTGCAGACGTCGTCTTCTGCGAGAGGAACGAGTCGGCAGAGTCCTTGAGGTGCGCGAGAATGAACGACGCAATCTGCGACGGCGAGTACTCCTTACCCTGAGCCTTGATCCAAGCATCGCCATTCGGCGCCTCCACAATCTCGTACGGGAGCATCTCCTGGTCCTCGTGCGTCTCCTTGAACGACTTGCCAATCAGCCGCTTCGTCGCGTACACAGTGTTCTCCGGGTTGGTGATAGCGCCACGCTTGGCCGGCGTGCCCACCAGCCGCGACCCGTCAGCCTGGAACGCCACCACCGACGGCGTCGTCCGCGCGCCCTCGGCGTTCTCGATCACCCGCGGCGTCTTGCCCTCCATCACCGCCACACACGAGTTGGTCGTTCCCAGATCAATCCCGATGGTCTTGCCCTTGCCAGCCTTGCCCGACGCCGCCCGCGTCAGCTGGAGCGCCACCCCACCGTTGGTGCGGAGCAGCCGGCCGAACATGTTCGTCATCTGTCCACCGCCATCCGTACCACCCCACACCCATTCCACCCCATCACCATGAGTACACGTCATGCCACCGTGCCTCCTCCCCGCCTCTGTGCCCTCATCTGCCCTCATCCCCCTCCTCGCTTCTCCCTCCTTCGCCTGGTCGCCGTGAAGGATGGCAGGATGACGCGTCTGCCGCGTCTGGTCGCTACTGGTGAAGGGTGTGGGGAAGGAGAGAGGGAATGTGTGGGCAAGGCAATACCACGCCCACTATACACAATTCTATCAGGTGCCGTACACGGAGTGCCATGATGTACTGTTGACGAGAAGTGGTGCAGGGTGTTGTAGGGCTAGTCAGTGCGCTGCTGTCGTGCTCATTTGGCTGGCCGTCTCTCTCTCGAATGGCACTTCGTGAAGATTGGGCTGGTGACGCCAACCAAGTTAACCATCTTCACACTCGCATCGCCGCCTGGCTGACGCACACGCAGCAAACTCTTGGAATCCATGCACAGACATCGATTCACTGCAGTCGATGAAAGCAGCCGGTGCATGGGAGCCCAGCGGCGTAGGGGTGACTTGGCTTGCCCATGCAGAGCGGGATTTGCTCGTCACACAGCAGTCGGACATCATCGCGTCGTCGACGAGACGCAGGTGAGATCGTCGTCCTCGTCCAGTGAAGTCGTCGACTCGGTCGTGAGCGAGCACTCGTTGTTGACCACGCGGTCCAAAAAGTCGGACGAGAGCGAGTCGGCCCGCGAGCGCGAGTACGACGTGTGGCCGCGCGAAGTCGATGCCGAGCGTGAGCGGCGGACCCGAACCCGGACCCGGATCTTGGACTTTGTGCGTCGGCGGGCATGCCCGCGGCGGCCTCGCTTTGGGCGTGCCGGTGGTGGCGCGTCGACCGAGTCGGTGATATTGTCTGGAAAGTCCCAGAACGACGCCGGCTCGTTGCCGGTCTTGGACCGCAGCCGGCACTTGAGGATGGCTGCCAGCGACTCGGTGTCTTCGTTGGTGGCGACATCGTGGTCGTGGACAAGGACCGTGTGATCGAGCACCTTTTTGATAAGGTACCCGGGCTTTTTGGCGAGGCGAAAGAACTTGGACTCGGCGAGCTTGGCCAGCGGCGCTCGGGCGGCCGGATCCTTGACAAGACACGACGCCACAAACGAACGAAAGGCCTTGGAGAACTTGCGCTTCGACGAGCCGAACCGCTCGCGCTCCAGTGCCGTGAGCGTGGGCGGCTCGTCGTGGAGCACGTGGTACATGATCTTGATCGACGGCCACTGCGCGTAGGGTGGAAAGCCGAGCGCGAGCTCCATGGCGGTGATGCCAAGCGACCAGATGTCGGCGCGCGCATCGTAGCCGGCCGCTTGCTGAAGGACCTCGGGCGCGGTCCAGCATGGCGAGGCGCCGGCGGCAAACGCCGCTGCGAGCAAGTCAAAGCCTGTGTTTGCAGGAGGCGTAGCGACAATGCACGAGAAAGCGTCGAGGAGAACCTCGCCCGAGTGGGTGACGAGAATGTTGGAGGCGTTGACCCACGAGTGGATGCGCCCGTGCTCATGCAGATAAGCCAAGGCGCGGACAACAGGCGCAAGGACCGAGGCAATGATGGCCTCCTCGGCAAAGCCCGTGGGAAAAGCCGAGTTGAGCACGTCCCTCAGCGAGCCGCGCGCCAGCCGCATGACAATCCACAGCGATGAGTCCTTGACAAACGAGACGTAGTAGGGGAGGATGTTGGGATGCCAGGCGAGGCCCATGTTGGAGACCTCAGCCTGAACCTGGATCAGTCTCCCCTGAGTTGTGTCCAGATCCACCACCTTGACCGCCACCTCCTTCTTCATCGATGCCGCCCATGCCCGCCACACCACCGACCGTCCGCTCTCGGCCACCCCGATGACCTCGCGCAGCTCGTACGCCTCGGCCGTACACGGATAGAACCGCCGCTCTGCCCACTCGCTCTCCATATCTTGTCCGCCTCGCTTCCACCAAGTGCAAGCCCGAGAGGGTGAGGTGCCCCACGCCGCCGTCGGCAGTCTCAGTCCCCAGTCCCTGCCCCTGCCACCTGGAGGGGGGGGGGGGGGGGAGGGGGGGGGGGCAGCAACCCCCCCCCAGCATTAAATGGGGAAAATGGAACCATCCATCCCCCCATCCATCCATCCCCCCATCCATCCATCCATCCCCCCATCCATCCATCCATCCATCCCCCCATCCATCCCTCCCACAGATCCCCCATGGCCATCCATTCCATGTCCAATGACCCCCTCCCTCTTCCCCCTCCCTGCACTGCCACCACCAGCTCCACCCCCCCCCCCACACACACACACTACTTACTGCCATCACCTCTCCCTCTTCCCCGCACTCAGTATGAGTATCCCTCGCGCAGTGGCGCCGCCTGGGCACGAGCTCGGCAGTCCTGCCCCCGGTGCGGCGACAGCAGGCGCGCAGAGCGTGACGACGGGCGTGGTCAAGCGGCCCGGACCGGCGCCGGCTGAGGATACTTCTTCGGGAGGCGGCGGCACGTCGCTCGAGTACCTCCCGCATCAGCGCATCGCAGCTGTGCTGGATGAAGTGGCGGCCATGAAAGCCAAGGTCGCTCGGCAGGACGCCCGCTTTGCTGCAGACACCGCCGCTCTGCGCATGGATCTCAACGCAGCTCGCGCCCTTTACTCAGCTCCGCTACCTGTGCCACCTGCTGACGACGCCGCCGAGCATGTGTGCCCTGATGGCTCACTGAGGAGCGTCATGCACATGGATCCGGCGACGCGGGCTGCGTTTGAGACTCAGGGCCGCGCCCTGGCGGACAGCCTGGGTGCTGGCGACGAGTCGTCGGCGCTGACCCACATCCAAGCCCGAGCCCCGCTGGGATCGAGCGTCCTGCGCGGCGTGCTCCGCACAGTGCCCGATGATCAGACCCGAGAGGCTGTTGCAGCTCGTCCGGGGGCTGCGTTTGCCGCCTCGCCGGCGCGCGGCACCAAGCCGGCACCAGAGGAGCTGCAGCTGTGGGAGGAGGCCAACTCAGCGCTTGCTCGTGAGCGAGCAGCCAACGCCGCCACACGCGACACCATCGTCCGTCTCCGCCACCAGCTTGCTGCCGGCGACACCGAGCTGAGAGTAGCCATAGAGGACAACGCCGCGCTCCGCCGCGAAGTCGCTGATGCTAAGGCCGAGCTCGACGCTGTCAAGGCCGAGCTCGACGCCCAGCTCGCGGCCCAGGCCCGTGCCCTCGCCGAACAAGAGCGGGAGCGCTCGCGTGCGCTTGCTGAGCTTGACGAACTCCGCACCCTCTCCGCTCGGGTCTCGGATCACTACCCGCGGTTGCTTCGCGAACAGAACGAGCTCCTTGCTGCCGAGCAAGCTAAGATCGACGAGCTCCGCGCCGCCATCAAGGCCCAGCGCGCCGAGCAGGCCGGCATTCCGCTCGAGACGCAACGGGAGCTCCAGGCCAATGCTTCCAAGCTGGCCTCGCTCCAGCAAGCCCGTGCTACCCTTGAGCAAGAGCTTGCTACGGCTTCCGCCTCGCAAGCCGAGGGAGCCGACCACGCTGCCCAGGCCTCGGCTCTTGATTCGCGCATCGCCCACGAACGTGCCCGTATCGAACAGCTCAAGGACGCCATGCGAGCCGAGGCGCGCCAGCCGGCAGCCATTGCACCGTCCACCCTGGCGCCGGCACCCGTACACAACCGCGACCTCACCCACGATCCGGTCTTTTCGCGGATGGATGCGCTGCGGACGTCGTCGTTCTCCTCGCGCGGACTCCCGCCGCCCGTCTCCGCTCCTCGGGCCACCTCTCGGCGGGTCTTTGGCCCTTCGTCCGACACTACCCTTTCAAACATCGGTCTCGACCTTGCATCGCTTCGCCCTGCGCTCGAGACCTCGTTTGCGCGCTACGGCCCGCCGCCGCCGCGGGCTCCTACCGCCGGCATCGGTCTGCGATCGCTCTACCCGTAGCCACACAGCAGTCACAGCCGTCCAAACTCCAGCAGCGACGGAAACGCGGGATCGTCGAGTCCTGTTGCCTTCCCCTCTCTGTTTTCTCCGGAGCAATCCTTAGCCCCAGCCGGCCACATGCCCAACTGCCGCGCGCGATCCTCTGCCCATGGGAACAAGGCGTCGAGGTCGAGGCCGGCAGCCGTGGCGAGGACGACCCCGGCCGCGGTGACCACCAGTGCCACAGCACATGGCGCCAACACCCGCTCTACCAGCCGGGCGAGCCAGCTCGTGCCGGCTACAGCAGCACTTGCCGCCGCGTCCGTCGACGTCGCCATAGTCGAGTATCCAGCCGGGGAGCCGGCCTGTTGTGGTCACAGACACTACCATTCAATGTCATCTCCCGCCACGGATCAGTCGTCCATCAGCATTGTGATGAGAAGGCCAAAGAGACGGGCGGCGCGAGTTCCCTGGGGTGTCGGCTCGGAGGCGAGCGTCTCCAGCACGTCGCATGCGCGCGAGACAAGCGCTGGATAGAGGTCAAGGCTGGCATCGGCAGCAGCGGCGAGCCAGTCCAGGCCGAGCGGAACATGATCGGGCGAGTGGACCATGTCTTCCACAAGCGCCGTGAGTACACCCTCGAGAGTGTGAGGGCGCACGTCGCGGACAACAGGTCCAATGTCCGCGAGCATGTGGAAGAGCTGCGTCGTGTGTGCGGCGCCGCCCTCGAGCAGCAGTGAGAGCGCCCGGTCGACATGGCCGGCAGCCAGCGCCGTGTGCGCGTTCTGGACCACCGACGGTGCTGTCTCGGCGGCCGCAGCCATGGCCGCTTCGCTCGGCCCGCGCGCCGGCGGCGCCGACCCGACAGCAGCGGCTGCAGCAGCCCGCTCCTCGGCGGCCCGTGCGAGGGCAGCTCGTGCGAGCTCACCGGCGACTTGCTCCACGGCCTTGGCCGCACTCTCGACACGCGACCCAAGCAGATCCAGAGCTTCCTGGGACTGGCGCTCCAGCGTCTCCATTGACGTTGTCAGCGAGTCTACCACCGCACCAAGGGCAGACGTGACGGCTTCGGGTGCCCAGCCTCCCGGCCTGGACGACGGCAGGTGCAGCAGCGGCTCGGGCTCGGGCTCGGGCTCGGGCGGCGTCGGCAGGCGTTCAGAGACTGGCGAGGCAATGGGCTCGGAGAGTATTGAAGCCGGCGGTGAGCTGGGTGTTGGTGACCGCGACGATGGGCTCGAGAGTGGCGGTGCACGAGAGCGTGGTGCCGGGATTCGCGACGACGAGCGCGAACGGCCGCGCCCATGGACAGCAGTCGCCTTGGGCGAGTGCCGAGCCCGGCTGACCGGGCGACTACCATGGTGCATCGAAGTCTCCAGCGCTGCTGTCGACTCCCGCAAGCTCTGCATTTCCTCTGCCTGGCTTGCGTACCGCTTTTCTTGTGCGACCTGCAGGTTGAGCAGGGCCTGGACCTGGCGCGAGAGCTCGGCCTGCGCCGCCTGCTGCTCCTCGAGCCGATCGAGGACAGCCTGCGAGAGGTTGAGATCCGGGTGTGGCGCGACTGAGTCGGAGTCACGCGCGAGAAGACTCAAGTCGACACCGGTCCGGGAGACTTGCGGCGGTGCGGACGGGACCGGCGAGAGCGGCTTGAAAAGCGGGTCGGCGAGCGGTGTCCGTGCCACCCGACCGACGCGGTGAACTGAGCGCGAGGCTGCTGGCGTCCGCTTCCCGGGCGTCTGAAATCGACGGAGAGAAGTGTTAGCAAACGATGCCGACATCGAGACGTGGCCGGGCAGCGAGGCCGACGAGCCAAGCGGTGCGCGGGTGGCCCAGTACGGGTGGACGTGGCGCGCGCCAAGGCCGACGGTCCACTCGGTTCCTCCAAGAAGCGCGTCGGGATCAACCGGCTCGGGCGGCATGCCGTCGGGTCCAGGCAAGTCGCGGAAAAGAGCCAGCGCGACGCCGACTAGCTCGCGGACCTTGCGGAACTTGTCAAACTTGTGACGCTCGAGGTGGACAATCATGTCTGGCGCAATGACCGAGAGTGCCGGCCCCATGCGGAGCGCAAAGACAATGAGCGCGCCGGCGGCAGCACGCCGCGCCTGCCACTCGTCGAGCGCCAGCGCGTTGACAAGGGCGGTGAGGTATGCCGGGATCCACGGAATGAGCGCGTCGCCGAGCACGTCAACCAGCTTGCCCGCGGCCTCAAACAGCGGCTCCACCGCCAGCAGCGACGCGGTCGACGAGATGAGGTCTAGCACCTTGAGCCCTATTTTGGGCATTTCGGCCTTTAGCACGGCCGCCGAGACCGAGCCGATGAGCGCGGCGATGGCGGCGCCAGCTCCACGATGGACGCTGACGTTGAGGGTGACCAGCTGTGAGAGGAGCGGCGCCAGATATGGCGCAATGCCTGAGGTTTCTGGTGCACTGCTGTCGAGCGGGACAACCGCGTACTCACCGAGAATGCTCACAGTAGCCGCGATGGCCTCGGCCAGTTGAGCATCGCCCTCTTGGATGCGAGCAACAAGTACGGCCATGACCTTGCTCGCCAGCGTACGTGCAAAGGACGGATGCGCCTCTGCCAAACCCTCTACAACCACTAGCGCCTGTTTGCGGGCCATAGTTGCATCCATCCGTGCGGCAAGCATGCCAAGCAGCAGGCCGGCACGAGTCGAGGTGAGCCCCGGATCAGTGGCGAGGGCAGCGAGCTGTGCAGCGGCGGTCTCTGCTGTGTCCTCGTCGGCGAGTCTCAGCAGAGCGTTGGCCACGGTTGCCCTCCACGACTCGCCACCATGTCCCCTCCGCTCGCCTCTTCGTCCTCCGCTCCCTTCAGCCAGCGAGCTGTTGTTGCCGTGAACCCGCCTGCTGCCGGCGACTCGCCCGTGCCCGCCAGCCCGGTGGTTGTGCCTGCTGCTGCGCTCGTCTCCAGGCCCGAGTAGCTGGGAGAGCGCGAGGAGGGTGGTCATAGTGTATGGGAGGGGTGGGGAGGGGTGGGGAGGGGTGGGGAGGGGTGGGGAGGGGTGGGGGGTGGGGGGTGGGGGGGGTGGAGCGTTGCGCACGAGGGGCGCGTCGACCAGTGGCAGGCAACTGGCGCCGAAAGCAGAGGCCAGGGAGACGGGCAAGCAGCCGCCTGTGATGAGCAAAACTACATGACCATCCTATCCTTCAATGTTGCTGCTGCTTCGCGTTCGATACGTGAGCTTCTTTCTGCGGTCACTGGATGGCGAGGTAAATTGCACGGTGTGTGGAGGCGAGGGCGGTGCAAAGGCACGCGGCCGCAAGCCCACATTCCGCATCTGTCCCAACTATGTTGCATGATCACCTGCCTCGGGCTGCGCAGCCAGCTCCGCGGCACGATTCTTGAGGGCATTGACGGTGGGGTCGAGGCCGGGACGGTGATGGAGGCGTTGAACGACGATGCCCAATGCGCCTCTTCGCGTTGGCGAACAGGGTCAAGATAGGGTTGAAGAAAGTCGAGGCGGAGGATTTCCGACGCCGTGGGTCTCTCATTCGGGTCCTTGGCGAGCATGGCTTGGACAAGGTCGGAGAGTTCCACCGAGTAGCACTCGGGGATGTCGGGAGTGCGGCGGTCAACGATGGTTTCCAATAGCGACTGGAGGTCGGCAGCCTTGAACGGGTACGTGAGGGCGCACATACGGAAGAGGAGGGTGCCGAGGCCCCAGATGTCGTTCTTCTGGGTGTACGAGAGGCCCTGACAGAGCTCGGGGGACATGTAGTAGGGCGTGCCGACGCGAGTCTGGCGCATGGATGACTCGGTCTCGAGCTCGGCCGAGAGGCCAAAGTCTGCGAGGCGAAGGGTGTTGTCTGCTGCGATCATGACGTTCGGTGCCTTGATATCGCGGTGGAGGTACTTGTTGGCGTGGCAGTAGTCGAGGGCGGCGACCAGCTGGGCAAACCATGTGAGGACGGTCCTCTCGGAAAAGTACATTTGCGTTGCGCGCTGCTCCTTGATGCGCGAGTCGAGGTCGCCGAGTTCGACGTGCTCCATGACAATGTGGAGGACTTTGTCGTGGACAAACGACTCGTAGTGCTTGACAATGTGCGGGTGGGTGAGCTCGCCAAGGGCCTGGACCTCGAGCGCGGCGCAGAGCGCATCCTTGGCGGTGAACGACGACATGTTGATCTTCTTCATGACCACCATCTTGCCGGTCTGGCGATGGCGGGTGAGGTAGACCGAGCCCGAGGTGCCTGACGCGAGAGGCTCGAGGACGAGGTACTCGTCGACTCGGGCTTCAGAGTGGCTGCCCTTGCCAGGCTCGAGCCCGCTCGACCACGATTTGGATTTTGTCATCGAGTCGCGGAGCGACTTGGGCTCGAGCGTGCTGTTGTCCTCAGCGCCAGACGCGGCGGCGGCGCGGACTGCGGCTTCCCAGTCGGCACCGAGTCCGTCGTGGGTGTTGGCCCGCTCGACAGGCGTAACCGGGTCTGGGTTGAGAGTGGGCGTCGATGCGCCGACAATGTTGACGTCGGGGAACGGGCTACAGACGACAGACGGCGAGTCGGGCTCGGTCGAGGCTGACGCGACCGAGCCTCGAGATGTGGCGCGTGAAAGCGCGCCACACGACGACCGGTCACCGGACGAGTACTTGCTCAGGCCCACCGACGAGCCTATGTCGGTCCGGGCAATCGAGGCCTGCTGAAGCGAGACTTCGTGGCTCACCATGTCGGACGACGACTTGGTGCCTTTGACCTTGATGCGACGGCGTGGGCGGTCGGGTTCTGTCTCGCGTCCAGGGTCACGGGCCTTGTCTTTGCCGCGGGCTCTATCCTTTTCGCGATACTTGGACCGGGCCTTGTCCTTGTCCTTGTCCTTGGCCCTGGCTTTCGCCTTGTCTTTGACCTTGTCCTTCCGCTTGGCCTTGTCTTTGACCTTGTCTTTCCGCTTAGCCTTAGCCTTGTCCTTCCGCTTGTCCTTGTCCTTGTCCTTGACCTTGACGCGGACCTTGGAGCGGGTCGGGTCTCGGTCGACCGATGATGGATGCGACCATGAGCGCTCGGTCGAATTCGTGCGAGAGGAGCGCTCGGAAGAGTTGCTTGGGCCGCGGTGGCCACGCGAGCCGGTCTCGAGAATGCCAGCGCGCAAAAGCTCGCCGCGCATGAAAGAGGAGAGGTCGACAGCGCCGCCTCCGGGTGACGTCAGGTCGTCATGGGTGGCGGAGCGCTTGCTAAGCGGCGCCATTCCGACGGGGGCGAGCGGGGTCAGGCGTGTTTGCGACGAGCGCCTGCGGATGGCACGCTGCGAGGAGGAGCGGCCGGCGGTGGCGAGGTGGACAGGCGAGCGAGAGCGTGAGTTGGAGCCGAGTCGTGAAGCCGATCCCCGGTCGTAGGCATCAGAGAGGTACTGGATGCCGTCGTGTGGTGCGAGCGGGGTGTGCCCACGTGGGTGTGGCGGTCGCGCATCAGAAACAGGGAGTAAAGGTGCTGATGCGCGTGGGTCAGCACGTGCCGAACTCGGGCCGCTGAAACGGTGCGGGGACAGCCTGGGCTCGTCGTGGGACGAGAGCGAGGCCCTGCGGCCGTGGCGCCCGTGACCAGAGGAGGGGGCCCGAAGCGGTGGAAGCAACTCAGACGGGGGCGAGCCGCCCGTGTGTGGCGCGGACGGCGTCCGCCGGTGCCGCGGCATGGGTGCAGACGCGGGTCAGCTGCAGGATGGCGCAGAAGGGCCAGCGAACACTCTGTGACTCAATCAATCAATCGGCGTTTGACTACGTTTGCAGAATTCCCTGGCAATAACTGCGGGTTCCGTCGTAGCGACGCGCAAAGTGGGACAGAATAGCAAGACGGGCGAGAGGAACACGGAGCGGACGCCACAGACACAGAGAGCGTCGCGCTAGTTGTTCCGGTTTCACTGCCTCGGCGGGTTTGGAAAGAGCCAAGTGCTTGTTGGTAGCCCGAGTGTCGCCCGGTGTGCCCGAGTGTCGGGGAGAGCTGGTTGCTGCAAGTGGGGGAGGAGGCGCGGCGAGTTGGCGGCTTTTGTGCGGCCACGAAAAACCCGCATTGTTTGCGCGGTGGCGGGTCAACGCAAGCGGCGAGACTGAGCCAATGTAGGGACATGGCGCCATCGGTCTGCGACAGCAATTGGTGAATGGCCGATGTGACTGTGCCGCTACCGCTACGCGAGACTACCGCCCGTAGGAGACATGCGCAGCGAGTGGACATCAGCCGTCGCCAAAAGCGATGATTGGTTGTCGACAGCCACATGACAAGATTGGACGACAGCTCGAATAATGGTGCGGAGGTTATGATTGGCGTGGACCGCTTGTGGAAACCTGCTTAAGGTTGTGGAGAACAGGTTTGTGGTCGGTGCAGCGTGTGGCCAATGTACGAGTGGGAACGCGTCGAGCGGGCTGTATGTAGTTGGCTGTGCAGTAAGGTTGAGTATATCCAAGTGAAAAAGTCCTTGTGGTCTCATTCTGGCTGCGGGGGTTGTGAACGCCGGGTCGACAAGCCGCCCACTCGCGACTGCAGCGGCGCTCTCCTCCAACTACAGCGGCGAGGCCATTTGGTGTGGCGACCAACCAGCCGCTTGGGCTTGGTGGCGGTGATATGTTCGTGTGGTTGTAGTAACCCTTGACGGTACCGTCGTTCGGACGCGTTGTCGCGCGTCTCAACGTGAGCAACTCGATGATGCTTGGCTTCCAGGTCACCGGCCGACACTGCGCGACGCCTGCTTGGTCTGTGGCTTGAGGTGGGAGGCGCGGCCGATGCGTGGCTCGCACGTAGGGCCTGCCTGCCGCTCGACGCTCATCCCGGCAACGCCGTTGTGTGCAACGTGGGCGACGAGCTCGCTGTTGTCGCGTGGAAGGCCTTGATGCAGTACCGTTTCCTGGCATCCTGCTCTCGTCCTCCAGGCTCGACGACGCGACTACCTCGCCTGCCGGAAGCTTCACGGTAAGCAATCGCGGCCGCGGACCTTTTGCGCCGCGCGCGGTGTCCATCTCTGCATCACCGACTGCTTTCTGTTGTGGCCCACCAGTGGCCACAGCAGCCATTACTACATTGTACTACTCCTTTACCGCGAAATGATGGACGTTGCGACGTCTGTGGAGCGTCGCAGAGCGACACGATGCAAAAATTTGTCCATCCGTACGGTAAAGGAATAGCAAAATTTTCTGCAAAACCGGCCAGTACACCTGGTGTCCGGGCGTTGCAAGCCAGACACGCGTACAGCCACCGCACTTTCTTTGCTACCCATGTCGTCCTCGTCCTCGTCGTCGGCGTCGTCTAACTCGTCCAGCTCCTCGGGCTCTTCAGGCACCAGCTCGGGGAGCTCTTCCGACTCGGCCGCCCCCGCTGCGCGCTCTGCGGTGTCCCCTGCGAGTGACGCAACTCCCGCACCTGTGCCTGCTGTGAGCAGCAACGGCCACGACAACGCGGAGCCTACTGCCGACGCCGGAGCCGAGGCTGCAGCCGATGCCGACGCTGTTGCCGACGCCGGAGCCGAGGCTGTAGCCGATGCCGAGGCTGTTGCCGAGACCGAGACCGAGACCGAGCCCGAGGCTGAGCCTGTGCCCGATGCCGAGGTCGATGCCGAGCCCGAGGTCGAGGCCGAGCCTATTGCCGAGCCTGCTGCCGAGCCTGCTGCCGAGCCTGCTGCCGAGGCCGATGCCGAGGTCGAGGCAGAGCCTATTGCCGATCCTGCTGTCGAGCCTGCTGCCGAGCGTGCTGCCGAGGCCGATGTCCAAGCCGAGCCCGAGGCCGAGCCTTCTGCCGAAGCCGAACCAGAGCCCGAGCTCACCCCCGAGCCCAGCCCCGAGCCCGAGGCTGATCTCACCCCACTGCCAGAGCCGTCGCAGCCACCAGCTGAGCTGTTCGAGGAGGCCTTTACGTACGAAAAGTCCAAGTATGAGTACACGACGGCACGGATCCAGGTCAAAGCCATGGAGCAGCGCATGCTGCTCGAGTACGCAACATCGCCGTCGCAGCGCGAAACGCTGTTTGAGGATACGTTCCTCATGACCCATTCCGAGTGGCTGCCTTCGCACGGCCTGGCCGAGTTTCTGTGCAAGCGTGCGGCGTCGGCGCCGGCAGAGTCCATTGCCAACGTCTTTGACTCGCGCCCGGCTGACCACGCTGCGTGCAAGTTCCATCTGCAAAAGCGCCAGCTCAACATGGCCCGCTACTGGATGGCGCACTTTTCCTACGACATGCACAAGCCCGGCGTCGAGTTCTGGCTCCGTAAGCTCATCGCCGCCATTCTCGCAGAGCACGCCACCCCCGACGAGACCGGTGATGACGAGCCCGAGCTCGCCGTCCTTGCCACCGAGACCGGGCACTGGCTTGACGAAGTCCTCCGAAACGGCGCCGTCAAGTACACTATCGCCCCGCTCGACACCCTGGCCGAGGAGCCTGTCGCCGTGCCGGAGCCGCTTGTGCCCAACGTCAACCCGATCACTATGCTCGAGGACGTCAACCCGATTGAGGTCGCCCGACAGCTCACCCTCCATGACTTTGAGCTGTTCTATGCCATCCGCCCTTGTGAGTTCCTCCATTCGTGCTGGTCGGACAAGGATGCCGGCCGCGAGACCGCGCCCAACGTTCTTGCCCTCATCGACTCGTTCAACCACTGGTCGGCTCGCGTCACCTCGGACATCCTCGCCCTGCCCAAGACCGCCAACCAGACCCACCGCGTGTGTTTCTTCCTCGACGTTGCTCTCGCATGCCGCAAGCTTGACAACTTCAACTCGCTCTGGGCCATCATGTCGGCGCTCCAATCGGCCGCCATTGCGCGTCTCGAGCCTGTCTGGGCCTCGCTCCCGGCGAGCTACCGCGAGATCTACGACTCGCTTGCCGAGCTCATGTCGACCTCACACAACTTTGCCAACTACCGCACCGCCCTCACCCGCGTCTCCCCGCCGTCGATCCCCTACCTCGGCCTCATGCTCCAAGACCTGACCTTTATCCACGACGGCAACGACTCGCTCGTCAGCCCGGCCGACGACGAGAATCTCGAGTTCTCGCTAGTCAACGTCGAGAAGCATGCCATGTCTGCCAAAGTCATCAACCTCATCCTCGGCCTCCAGGACCGCTCGTCGGCACGGGACTCTCCGGCAGGTGGCCTTGCGGGCGGCCGCGGCTACCCGCTCCACACCCTCGACACCGTCCGGGACTACCTCCTCTCCAGCGACGGCATCCTCGCCGATGAAGCCGCCTACCAGCTCTCACTCGAGCGCTTCCCGCGCGGCTCCAAGGTCAAAAAGTCCAAGGTCAAGCACAAGCCGCTGGATCCAGAGACCGTCGTCAAGCCAGACGCCCATGATACCGGCGTTGACCCGGCATCGACCGCGGCCTTTGTCGCAGACGTCACCGCCCGCCTTGTCGAAGAGTCATACGCCACCGGCGAGGTCATTGTCCGTGTCGGCTCGCCCGGCGACGCAATGTATTTTGTCAAGTCTGGCCAGATTGAGGTTCGCCTCCGCCACGGCGCTGTCCGCTACCTGGCCGGCGGCCAGTTCTTCGGCGAGGTCTCAATCTTCAAGTCAGGCAAGCGGACCGCCACCGTTCTTGCCGCCACAGACACCGTTGTATCCCGCCTCGACCGCGACGTTCTCCTCTCTACCATCGGCAACTTTCCCGACGTCGAGACTGCCTTCCGCCAGCTTGCCTCGGAGCGCCTGGCCAACTCGTCGAACCCACGCCGCCGCTCGAAAAAGCCCAAGTGGCTGTCCTCGATCTCTGCCGCTGCCGCCGCTGCCGCCGCCGCGCCGTCGGCCGCCGCTGCCTCGCCTGCTGCCGCCGCTTCTGCTGCTGCCGCCCCGGCCGCCGCCTCAGATGCTGCTCCGGCTGAGCAGGCCGAGAAGCCGTTGACCAAGGCCGAGCTCAAGGCCAAGGCCAAGGCCGAGAAGGAGGCCCGCAAGAAGGCCGAGGCCGAGGCCAAGGCCAAGGCCAAGGCCGAGAAGGAGGCCCGCAAGAAGGCCGAGGCCGAGGCCAAAGCCAAGGCCAAGGCCGAAAAGGAGGCTCGCAAGAAGGCCAAGAAGCTCAACAAGTCGGCCTCTCAGGCTTCGCTCGCCGACTCGACCTCGGAGCTCGCCGAGTCCGAGGCCGATGCCGAGTCTGAGGCTGCTGACGGCAGCGCCAAGGACAAGGGCAAGGGCAAGGACAAGGGCAAGGACAAGGGTAAGAAGAAGGACAAGAAGAAGGACAAGAAAAAGGACAAGAAGAAGGCCAAGGCCAAGGGAGAGGACGAAGGCGAGGAAGCCGATGCTGGGACAGAGCCTGCTGCCGAGCCTGCTGCCGAGCCTGCTGCCGAGCCTGCTGCCGAGCCTGTTGTGGCGCCTGCTGCTGCCGAGCCTGCTGCTGCCGAGCCTGCCGCCGCCGAGCCTACTGTCGAGCCTGCTGCTGATGAGGAAGCCGGTATGGACAAGGTTGAGAACGAGGCAGAGGCTGCCGAGCCCGAGCCCGCCGCCGAGCCCGCCGCCGAGTCCGCCTTGGAGCCCGCCGAGCCCGCCGAGCCCGCCGAGTCTGATAATGGCAAGAGCAAGAAGAAGGACAAGAAGAAGAAGAAGAAGAAAAAGTCCAAGGACGCCGAGTAGTCTAGACCTGCTACCAACCTTATTTTCAACACAGTAAAGACATCAATCTCACACACCAGGCACCACCGGCACAAACGGCGTGTCTGGCGTGAGGCACGACGACGACGATGCTGAAGATGCTGACGACGACGCTGCCGCCGGCTCGGACACGCTGTCGACACCAGGATACATACTCCGCCGCTTTGTCGGCACCAGATAGTTGCGAGCAAGAGTGGCAAACATGGCGAGGAATGGTGTCGAGTCGAGCATCAGGATGTGCGCTGCGCGCCCGACCATCGAGTCGAGCGAGAGCGAGTCTACATCAAACATGACGTCGGTCCGGATGACGGTAGTCGAGGCAAGCACGGTAAAGAGTGCGTCCAGGATGGCGAGATATGCCGAGCCCTTTTCCTTAGAGTACAGCGCCTCGGGTGAGAGCTCCATCCGCGACGATGCATAAGGGACGTAGCGATCCTGCGGCGACGAGACAAGGAGGACCACTGAAAAGAGGCCAAAGTTTGCGTCGTGCGCAAGCTTGTACATAAAGGTCTCTTCGAGAGTGTCAGCGTCGGTCAGTGAGAGCTGCGCCAGGCACGTCGATCGCTTCCACTTCTTAAGAAGCCACATGGCCGAGCCCACAAGCGTCGACGAGCCAAACATGGTCCCACAGTGCGGACCCGAGAGCGAGACAAAAGCGTGGAGGCGTGGGAGAAACTCGCACAGCTCGCGCTTACTCAGTGCAGCGCGGACAATGATGGTCCCCAGTGAGTGGCCCACAAACGAGAGCGCGCCAATTCGGAGCCTCTCGCTCCGCACAAAGAGCCAAATCTCGTGCGCCAGCCGCTCCGCCATCTCGTCGATGTCGCACAGCGTGTCCTTCTCGTTTGCCGCAGAGAGCAAGTGCTCCGCCTCGGGAAACAGAATCGCCAGTTCGTTGCGGAGCAACCGCAGGTCAAACGCGTTGCCCGCGAGCCCGTGAACGTACACAAACAGATGGACCGTCCCCGCCGCAAGACTCGGCTCAGGCACATTCGCCAGCAATGTCTCCTCGTCTTCAAGCCCCAGAACTCGGAGCTGGTCATCGCCTCCTCCAGCAGCTGCCATAAACTCGTCAACAACACTCGCCGCCGGCGATGGCATCTCATAAGCTGGTGGCGGGCTCAGCGGCTCGCCCTCGCCCGAGTCTGAGAGCCGCGACGAGCTCGAGCCCGACGCCGCCGTGCCGGTTGCGGGTGCCGACGCAGACGACTCACTTGGCCCTGCCTCGCCAGCCCGCCTTGCTGCCGATGCCGCCGGTGCCGCCCAATTCCATGTTGGCGGAACGTCAGGTCCAACGTGAACAATGTCCTGAAACACCACATGCTTGGCCCGAAACGGCGCGTCCGGCGAGAGGTCAACGATCGGGTCGCGTGGGCGCTCGGCCAACCGCACCTTGGCCAGCATACCCGCCAACTCACGGTGCCAGACCATGCGCTGCGAGTTAAACAGGTGCGCGCTTGACGCTAGGCCGGGCGTCGCACTCGATGATAGCGGTGTGTGGTACCGGAACACGTTGTCGGCCCATCCATGGAGTCTGTAGCGCTCGAATCGCGTACGCAGCTGCTGCCGCAGGCTCGGGGTGTGAGCGAGGATGAGACAGCCGACGTAGGTGGTGTGCAGCTCGTCGAGTGCATCTGCAAGCGAGGTCAACTCGTCGAGCAGCAGCAAGCCAACTGTCGTTTCGCACGCATCCGGCCCAAGCGCAGTAACACCAGACTCGAGCCGCGCCCGCGCTTCGGCACCGACCGTGGCGGCCCGGGCCGGGTCAGCCAGCGCCGTCGCAGTCTCGATCATGGCGTCGAGATCACGGGCCCGGGGATGCAGATGCAAGCCGGGCTCCGAGGCAATGAGAAATCCGAGCGTGGTCCGCGAGCCCGAGCATGTCGCCCACAGCTCGCAGAAAGCGGCGCTCTGAACCTTGTACGCAGCAGCAAGGCGGTCCAGGACCGACGACGGCGGCAGCGCCGACGGCGCCGCTACCAAGTCGGCTACCGATGCCGAAACCGACTTGGGCGACCGTGGCGGCGTCGGATGTGGAGGAAAGACGGCAGGGAAGAGCTTCTGTCGCCGCGGGCGCGGCAGCGGCGGCGCCTGCAGCGTCAGTGCCACAAGCGCAGAGTGCGCCAACAGGTGCAGCAGGCCGAAGAACGACTCGCCAAACGTAACTTCGTAGTACGCGTGCGCATGGACTGTGGTCTCGGGACTCGCCAGAAGATACCGCCGCACTGCTGCGCACTTGAGCGCCTGCCCATTGAACTCGGTCGAGTACCACAACTCAACGGTAGCGAGCATGTCCTCACACACCCCGCTTGCAGCCTCGGCAAGCGCGACTTCAAAGACCACCACGTCGTTAAGGACAGCAGCCTCGGCTTGGTACCGGATCTCAAACTGCGCCGAGTGGAAGACGTCGCCGGCGATGTACGGCCTCGACACGACGTTGGCCGACGCGGCCTCTGCCTCGAACGATGACTCGTCGACAGCATCGCTCGAGCAAACATCAACAACAACACCGGGCTCGCCATCGGCAACACCAGAGCCCGAGCCCGAGCGGACGTGCCGGTGCAACGGGCAGTGCGTCATCAGCGCCTTGGTCAGCGGGGCCGCAGACGCTTTGCTGCACGATGTCGGGCGGGCAGGCACGTTCGACTCGGCCGTCGCCACCGACAGCCGCAGCTCGTACACTCCGCGCTCAAACAGATCCACATTAACAAACGATTCGAGCACAAAGGTCACTCGCGCGAGGCCATGCAGCTGCCCGCCCGGTGCCGTCGCGCCTCTCGGGCGGCTCGGCCCAGCCTCGACGCCGGCCATGGACCCAGCTGCAGAGCCTGACTCAACGTCAGACATGCCAGAGAAGAGTGCCCCGTACCCTACCTACAGAAAAGGCTTGTCGCTGCTAGCTAATCCCTGCTTTCTCCTTTCGGCGCCGTGGAAGGCGTCAAGTGACGTAGCAAGGCGTTTGGGGCGGAGGGGGGGGGAGAGCCGAGAGGTGTACCTCGCTCGCGAACACTCTCCAACCAAACTGCAAGCCGCTCGCCGTCCCCGCCCCAGCCACAGCCACACCTCACCCACTCCCCCAACACACCCACACACATACATGGCTGCGCGTGCACTCTCGACGGTTGTCAAGCGGACAACGGGCATTGTTGGCCTGCCTGTGGCTCACAACGCCCAGAAGACCCTCACTGCCCTCTATGCCCAGACCCTCGAGGCTCTCGAGGCTCTCCCAGAGACCGCCCAGTACCGCGTCAATGTCGAGCAGATGACCCGCACCCGCCTCGACGCTGTCAAGAAGGCCACCTCGGTCCAGGAGCTCGAGGAGATGGTACGTCCTCCTCCATTCTTCCCCTTCCCTCTCCCTCCTCCTCTCTCTCTCGCTCTCTCTCTCTCTCTCCCCCCCCCCCCCCCCCACCCTTGCCGCTTTTCCTCTGCTGATCACCGCCAGCCTGATCACCACCGCGCCGCCTCACCGCACGGCCTTTTCCTGAAGCAACTCACCCTCCCCGCACCCCGCCGCCCCCACCACTCTGGCCCTCCCCTCTCCGCACTGCAACACTGCAACAGGTCAACGCTGGTCAGGTTGAGGAGCTCATTGTGGCTGCCAAGAACGAGCTCAAGCTCATCCCCAAGATCGCAGCCGGCAAGCCGTGGGAGACGTCCAAGGCGTCCAAGCTGAACGTCGAGGTCATCTAGGCAACGAGCCAGACGTAGTTCTCGCGCCTGCGTGAACCGATAATGAAATACTTCCGAGCTGTGGAGATGCCCATGTAGTACGACCCACTCCACCCCACCCCCCCCCACCCCCACCACACACACACACGCGCGCCCATACACAAACCCCACATCGTTATTCATACACACATCGTGCCGGGATCGGCGGTCATGAGCTTGTCAATCGGTCTTGGCGCGGCCGGCAGCGGGCGGCGAGCCATCGATGGCCGAGACAATCGATGCCTCAAGCGAGGCGGCAAAGGCGTCGAGCGAAAACAAGTCCCGGACGCGCTGGCGGCCGGCGGCGCCCATGCGAGCGCAGAGTGCTCGGTCGGCCCAGAGCGTTCGCATCGCGTCAGCAAAGGCGGCCGGCTCCGGGGCGACGAGCAAGCCGGTCTCGCCGTCGACAATGGACTCGGTCGGCCCGCCCGAGGCGACGGCAACGACAGGGCGCGAGGCGTACATGGCCTCGACAGGCACGATGCCAAAGTGCTCGTTGGACGGGGTGTAGAGGACAGCGACAGCAGCGTCAAAGTAGCGGTACTTGTCATCGTTCGAGACCGAGGGCGCAAAGACGACGTCGGTGCCGATGTCGAGGCCGAGTTCAGTGGCCTGGGCATGGAGCTCGTCAAAGTACTCTGCGTTCTCGCGGTTGTTGGGATCGTAGCCGCCGGCGAGGACCAGCTGCGCGCCGCGCGCATCGGCGGCCATGAGCGCAAAGGCGGCGAGCGCGAGCTCGATGGCCTTCTTGCGCTCAAAGCGGTTGATAGAGAAGAACACCTTGTTGTTTGCAAGCTCTGAGCCGCTGCCGACGGCGGCGGCGGCGGCGGCGTCGATGGCCTGCATGTTGATGGCCGGATAGAGGACGGCCGGCCGCGCAGTCATCGACGGGAAGGCCTCCATGACAGTGGCAGCGGTAAAGGCCGAGTTGACGAGCACCACGTCAGCAGCGCGCGTCGAGCGCTCCTCGAGCGCGTCCGCGACGGCGCGATACGCGATGCGCAGCGGCGACGACGAGCGCGAGGCCAGGAGCTTGTCCGGAAAGTGACAGTAGAAGACGACCGGGAGGCCAACGAGGCGGAAGGGCCACACCGCCGTGGCAAGCTGGTCGAGGAAGACCACATCCGGGCGCGGGTAGAAGATGACCATGACCACGGCAGCGTAGAGCATCCGGAGTGTAACGCAGAGAATAGAGAACATGCCAAAGATCGATGACGGCAGCCAGCCGCCGACGACCCGGACGTCCAGCGAGCCATCGCGGGCCTCGGGGAAGCAGTGGCCCACGTCGCGGTGGTTGGTGTACATGGTCACCGCGTGGCCGCGGGCAAGCAGGCCCATGCCTGCGTCGATGACCAGCCGCTCGGCCCCGCCTACGCCGAGGTCGGGATGGAGGAATGCTATACGCATACTGAGGGTGGGGTGGGGTGGGGTGGGAGTGGGGTGGGGTGGGGTGGGGTGGGGTGGGGTGGGGACGAGTGGTTGGGAGGGAGGGGGGGGGGGGGGGGGGTAGGGGGGGAGGGGACGGCAAAGCCGTGGCTGAAGCTGTTGCTGCTGCTTGTACTACTTCCACTACTGCTACCACTCTTACTGCTGCTGCTGGTGCTGCTGGTGCTGCTGGTGCTGCTGATGGTGCTGATCGGCGTGTCCCTGCTGGTGCTGGACAAGGACACGGAGGGCGTCCATGACCTCGCGGTGCTCTGACTGGACGACGCGGCCCTGGTCCTCGACAAAGGTCAGGCGCTCTTCCATGATGCCCATGGTCGAGGTGAGGACGTCGAGCTGACGGACAATATGAGAGAGGTCGCGGCGGAGCTCGTCCGAGTACGTCTGCTCCTCGAGCGCCTCGGTGTGGGAAGCCGGCGCCTGGGCGTAGGCCGACGACGCCGACGACGGCGGCGGCGACGACGCGACCGGCGCGCGCTCGGCCGATGCGCCAGCCGGGAGCGAGGACCGGAAGGAGGCGTCGGCAGCAGAGGCCGCGACCGAGTGCGAGTCGAAGAGTGCAGGCGCGACGTCGACGGGCTCGTCGTCAAAGACCGGCGCGACACGCGACTCGTCAAAGAGCGAGGCAGAAGCCGGAGGCGCGGCGGGAGCAGGCGCTGTAGACGGATAGGCGTCGGCAGCGTCGGCCCAAGCATCAAACGCGGTCCGCCAGACATGGACCTGCTTGTCGGCCGAGGCCGAGGCAAAGTACTCGCCGTCGCGCGAGAACGCGGCGCCACAGGTGGCAGACGTGTGCGAGTTGAGGGTAAAGAGGAGGAGGCCCTCGCGGAGGTCAAACATCCGCAGCGACGCATCCTCAGACGACGAGAGAAGCACGTTTCCGGAGGGGTGGAAGGCAACCGAGTTGACTGCGTCCGAGTGAGCCGAGTAGTGCTGGAAGAGCCTGTTCATGCGCAGATCGTAGAGCTGGACGGCGCCGTCGGACGAGCCGGTGGCCAGGCAGGTGCCGTCTGGGTGGAAGGCAACCGTGTTGACCGGAGCCGTGGCGTAAAAGGTGGAAGTGATAGCCTTGGAGCCGGCGTCGTAGAGCTTGACAGTCTTGTCGTCCGAGCCCGACGCCAGCAGCCGCGAGTCGGACGAGATAGCGGCGGAACGGACCCAGTTGGTATGGCCCTTGAATGAGGCCATGAACCGCTGGGTGGCAACATCCCACAGCTTGACGATCTTGTCGTCGCCAGCGGTGACCAGCGCCCGCGAGTCTGCCGAGAACGAGACCGAGCGGACCGACGAGGAGTGGGCCTTGAACACCGTCGATGAGCCGCGGACAGTGGGAATCCAAAGCCGGACAGTCGCGTCGCGCGAGGCCGACGCCACCAGCTGGCCCGACGGCGCAAAGTCCACGTCCAGCACCGCAGCCTTGTGGCCCACAAACCGGAATGCCCGCATGTTGCGGCGGAACTGCCAGAGCATGACCGTCCCGTCGGCCGACGACGACGCCAGCTGCGACATGTCGGGCGCAAAGGCCACCGCAGTCGCCGTGTCGCGGTGCCCGCGGAACGCCCGCTCGAGGGTCGGGTCTTCAGACATAGCTCCTCTCTGTGTTGTGTGCTGGGTAGGGGGGGGAGGAGGAGGAGGGGGGTAGGGGTGGTGGGCGGGCGAGGAGGGCGAGGAGTTGGGTGCTACCGGTCCGTGGCGGTGGTTGGCGGCGCGCAACCGATTTTGGCGCGCGGTTTTGGGCCGACCGAAGCAAGTTGGGTCGTCCCGAGGCGCTGCCACACACACGGCGGGGCAAAGGTAGCTGAGCCAGTGGGATTGAGCTGGGCGATGCATGAGAGCTTACGTAGGTGCAGGTGAGCTTGGGCTGGTGCCATCGGCTGCAACAAGGTTGAGTGGACCGGGATCGGGACCGGGCATTGTGGCCAGGTGAGGCGGAATAGTAGAGCAGCGGGAGGTGATGCACTTGGATAGGACTTGACGGGCGGCAGCAAGCGCTGGACGGCGATGGGTAGCGTATGGGTAGCATATGGGTAGTCGATGGGCTGCAAGCTAGCGGCCAGTATTTGCATATCGCGTCGGAAAGCACTCTGACGCCGGGCGGACACCGATGCGTTCGCGCGCGCGCCAAATCGCCATACGCCCGCCCAACGCTAACCTCCGCCCCTCCCTCGGCCCACCCCCACCGCCACAGCCACCGCCACCCCTCTGCACAGCACCACACGAGGCTCACGAGATGGGACGCAAGCGGCAGAAGAAGCGTGGACGGCGCGGACAGCAGCAGCAGCAACAGCAGAGGCAGAAGAAGAAGGGCGCCGACGTCGCCCCGGTCGCCCAGGACGCCACACCCGCGCCCGTGGTCGAGGAGGAGGTCATGCCCGAGCCCGAGTACCTGTCGGCAGAGGTGGTGGTACGTGTAGAGGCGGAGAGAGGGGGGAGGAGGGGGGAGGGCCAGAGCAGAGGCGCAAACTCACTTGTTTGGGCACGGGCGGAGACAGAACGCCATCGACTGGTCCGACTACGATGTGGAGAAGCTCGACAGCGAGTTCTGGGTCGCGGTGGCTGCCTTTGAGCTCCGTAATCACGGATCGACCGATCTGGGGCATCTGGCTGATCGTGCTGGAGTCATCAACGCAGAGTACGCAGAGGCACGGGCAGCCAAGGACGCTGAGCGCGCCGCGCAGTGGGCTGCTATCCAGAGTGCCGCCGACAAGATCAAAAACCCGAACCGCGGCAAAGACGCTGCAGAGACTGATGCAGAGACTGATGCAGAGACTGATGCAGAGCCTGGCGCTGACGACGCCGAGCCTGCCTCCGAGTCTGACCCCGTGGCCGAGCCTGCCTCCGAGTCTGACCCCGTGGCCGAGCCTGCCTCCGAGTCTGACCCCGTGGTCGAGGCCGTGGCCGAACCCGAGCCAAAGCCAAAGCTCGAGCCCGAGCCCGAGTTCGAACACATCCAGACGGCCCTCGATCAGACCTCAGACGCGCCCGTGGATCAGAGCCCGGCTTCGCCGAAGCGCACGCCGCTGACACTCGATGTCAGCGGCGCAGACTCGGCGGCAACGGTCGATGGCGAGGAGGATGATCCCGAATCAATCGGCCTCCCATCGCCGCACTCGAGCGAGTAAGCCCTCGTACGACGACGCCATCCTTCCGCTTTGCAACAATACGTTTCACCACGGGCCGGGCCGGGTCCAGCAGTCGGCGTACTCGACCACGACTCGCACCCGTCGCTGGGCCTGAAGCCCGCGATGCGGGACAAGTCCCGCTATCCCCGCCGCTTCATCCATCGGCCAATGTCTAGCCGCTAAGCGCATTGCCTGATGAACACCGCACCAGCTGCCACTCCCCAAACTCCCATCGGCTGCGCCAGCCCGGCAGAGCTGCATGACCTGGCACGCACGCCCACGATCCCATCCACCGCCACCTGCCACAGCCCCACCCCTCTCCCCTTTCCCCTCCCCCCAACCCATGGACTGGCTTCACGAGAACACCCCCGGCGCGTCTGCGCTTGCTGGTGCGGCTGCTGCGGTGGCTGGCGTGGCTTCGCTCGCCTGGCTGCTTACCCGCCGTCAGACGGCCCGCCCGCCTGCCCTCGACCCGAAGCAGGCGCGTCCCCTGACGGTGGTGGCCACCCGCATGGTGACCCACAACGTGGTCGAGGTGGAGATCGCCCTGCCAGAAGAAGATGACGTGACGGGGCTGGCGCTGGGGCAGCACGTTGGCGTTGTGTACACCCCGCCGGACGCCACAGAGCCTGTCCGCAGGTCGTACACCCCCATCTCGCCGCTCTCGGCCACCGGCTCGTTCACTCTCGCCGTCAAGGTCTACCCGGACGGCGTCGTCTCGTCTATGCTCGCCAACCTCGACATCGGCGACACTGTCCTCATCCGTGGGCCTGTTGGCCGCTGGACGTACCCGACCAACGAGGTCCAGACCCTGGTCATGATTGCCGGTGGCTCCGGCATCACCCCGATGTTCCAGCTCCTCTCCGAGCTGCTCGACGCTCCGAGCCCGACCCGCCTGGTCCTTGTCTACGCCAACTCGACGCCAGAAGACGTCATCCTCTACCAGCACATTGTTGACCTTGCTCAGGCTTATCCCGACAAGCTCGAAATCTCTCTCTGGGTCTCGCGCACCAGTCCGGGTGCCACCTGGGCCCACAACATCGGCCGCCTCAACGCTGCCCGCCTCGCCGCCGTACTCCCACCAGCGACAAGCCCGGGTGTCCTCATCACGTACTCCGGGCCGCCGTCGTTTAACAAGATGGTTGGCGACGCTGTCAAGGAGCTCGGCTTCAGACGGCCGCATGTCCATCGCTTCTGAGCGCATGTAGGGACGGACGTCACGACGACGGCGCGCCCACCCGCCGCCGTGACGCAGACGTGGTGCGGTTGCGGTTGCGCCGCGCCGGCATTGCTGTGCCGGCATCGCCCGCTTTGCCCGCCCGTCGGAATGGAAGGCGTGCCGGCTCGGCGGCCACCGCGTTGCGCACCGCCAGCGGCGGCCGCGACGCCGATGCCGACGTCGCCCGCGACCGGGTCCGCACAGGCTCCGGCCCGGACCGCGGCAGGCTCGGCGGCCTACTGCGTGCACTCGCCGCACTAGCCTCTCTCCGTTGTGCCGAGGCCGACCGGGTGCGCGCGGACCGCGGCTCGCGCGATGCCGACGCCGATCGCGACCGCGACCGCGAGTCGCGCCGCGGGCCCCTGGGCGGCCGCCCGGACGCTGCCGCCAGCGTTGTTGAAGCCGACCGCCGCAGCGGCGGCCGCGCTGCCGTTGGCGAGTGCGGCCGCGCCGCCTCAACGCCAACCTCTTCGTAAATGGAAAAGTAGTCGTTGGAGAACGAGCCGAGGGCGTCGCCGTGGTCAGTAACGTCGCGGTTCGGGCTCATTGAGTGCTCGACCAGGAGCAGCGGCGCGCCGGCGTCGCGGTACGCAAGCGAGAGCACTTTCTTCCGCACAAGCATGGCGTAGACGCGAAGCATTGGGACCGCAATCGACGGAAAGCCATACACGGCCGCAATCCGCTTTGCGCGTGCCTGGTCAATGAGATTGGCCGACGCCGACGTCGGCGAGTCCTCGTCGCTCGGGTGCAGCTCGTCAAACTCGAGGGCAGTCGCCGGGGAGGCAGGCACCGGTCGCCACTTGTCGAGTGCGTCGGCCGTGAGCGCCTCTTCGAGCGCCTCGCGCTCCCAGCCCATTTGAACAAGTGCGTCGATGATGCCGTTGTCGAGTCCACCGCCACGCTGAGGGAGCTCAAGTTGTGGAAATGGCGGTTCGACCCACGACGCCGCAGGCGTACCAGCAAGCCACGGTGAGGCTGCCACGTCGCCGAGCGTGGCGCGGTGCGCCGGCCGCACAATCATGGCAGCGAGGAGGCGGCCGACATCCGTCTCGGCCTCGATCGCTGGGTGTGGGTCAAGACGCCCGACGCTGGCGCGCTTGGCTCGTTCGGCAGTCACCTCGCGGCTCTTGCGCCCGGCCTTGGGAATCGAACCAAACGGGTCGCTTGCGGTGAGAAGGCCGTAGAGCGTGACACCCAGTGCGTACACGTCAACCTGCGGCCCGATGTACGGGCTAGCCCGGAGCAGTTCCGGCGCCATGAACCGCGGCGTGCCGCAGCATCGAAAGAGCTCGGTTCCCGGAGTGTAGAACCGGGCAAAACCAAAGTCGCCGATCTTGACCCGCCCGCGCCCGTCAAGAAGGATGTTGCCCGGCTTGAGGTCGCGATGGACAATGCCGAGTGCGTGGACATACCTCATCGCTGCCACGATCTGGCCAAACACCGCTCGGGCCTCGTCCTCGCCCATCGGGCCTGTCTTCGCCAGCCGGGCTTGCAGCGAGCCGCCGGGGCAGTACTCAAGGACGAGACAGAGCTCCTTGCCGGCGTCGACTACATCGTACAGCCGCATGACATTCGGGTGATGGATGAGCCCATGGATCCGGAGCTCGCGAAAGAGCAGTGCCACATCCTCCTCGCCCAGTGCCGCCTTGTCCAGCACCTTGACTGCCACCTTTTCACCCGTAAAGTCGTGCCGTCCCAGACGCACATGACCAAACTTGCCCTTGCCCAGCGTCTCGGTCAGCGAGTAGTAGCCGACCCGCGAGACGGTGCCTGTTGCCCCCCTCCCCCACCAAGCACCACGCACCGGCCCCCATCCCGCCCGCATTGCCCGATGTAGCCCCCCACACCGTGATCAGATCCATCCCATTCCCCCCCATCCCGCCCAGCACATGCCCAGCACACGTCCCGTCTGCGTCAGTGCCACACCCTTCGTCACGGCTGCGGAAGGTCGCCCATTGGCGCCAAGTGCCAACACCCGCCACCCCCCCACCCACACACACACACACACACATGTGCAACGCCATACCTTTGGAAAATGAGGGTTTGACTCTGCATACACCGCCACCACCTCGGGGTTGTCTTGGATGTATGACCAGAGAGTCTCTCCGTCCATATCGGGCAGTGTGTGTGTGATGTGCTAGTCAAAAGTCCTTGCACCAGGTGTGTGCCTTTTGCGCTTTCCCCCTTCTGCTCCTGCTCACGAACAGCACAGCCTTCCACGAGGAGACCGACAGAGAGGCTGAGCGACAGACCAAGCGAACAACAGACAAGAACTCGGGTATGGTGACTTGAAGCGGTGGCACTCCTGCCTGTTGACCACGCTCACCGCTACTCTCTCTCTCTCTCTCTCAACTGCTGTACAGTGACAGAGTTAGATGTGGTGGCTTGTGGTCTGTGGCTCGTATCTGCCTAGCATAGTCGCCCTCCCGTCTCTGGTCACCCCCGTTGCTCCGCTCCACTGTGTTCACGTTCTGGACTTGTG